CATATTGTTAAACAATAAAGTAAAGTTATTTCAGCAACATTTCATTTTGAACACTTCAAGAAGTTTTGTATTTCAGATATAAAATAACAATTTACTTGTCAATTAAATTATTGTTTTTAGTTTCAAAGTTTACCATATTATGGTAAACTTGAAAACTATGGAATTATTTAATTAAGAAATAATTTTAGGTGATTTAATCAAAATAAACACATATAAAATGTTGTATTTGTTTCTATACTGTTAAAATGTTGTATGCATTTAACTCAAACCATTTCTTAGTTCTTAAATATTCAATGGATACCTGTTTTTATATTTACCAGCGAAGAACATTTCCATCAGCTGAATTATATGGAAGAAAGTGGCTAAAAACACCATTTCAATGTTGGTACTAAATTGCAAGATAACATTTTAAACAAATCAAAAATCCCAAAGGAGATTTCCAGGTTTCAATTTAAATTTTTGAGTAAATAGAGTCAGAGCGAAGAATATCAATAAATGTGGGCTATTACAGTATTTGAAATTTATAGGCTGTAGTCTAGAAGTTTTGCCTATACCCACCACATACATTGTTAAAGACAATACAGCTACAATTATAATTTATCATGAGTGATCAGATGACAATTGAACTCTGAACTGACTCAGTTCAGAATATAGACTCCCACTATGCATATATAGGACAATATGTGAGTCCTGATGGTCATGGCATAGGGGCTGCAGGTGTGTCATCAATTGTAGATTTTGTGAATAAATTTAACAAAAACCAAAAGCATACAAACATGTGAAGACAAAATGAAAAAGGTATGCCCAAAAGAGGAATAAACAAAGAATGAATACATATAAAAACATCTGCCAACATCCCAAGAACTCGTATAATCAAGTATGTCAGATATAAAATTAGTAAATTGGCTGAAATACAACAGATGGCTTCCAAAGAAGAGACCCAACAAAAACTGGAAAAAACGTACAACTTTATAGAAAAAATTTATGAATCAAAGTCTTCAATTCCTATACATACAACTTTTTTAATGCAGAAGGAGCAGCAGTAAAGCAATCAAAAACAGTGCTATGAAGTTTATACATAGATTTATGTTAAAACTTATGCAGAATGTAGAAATTTGAACCATCTGTCTCAAATTTATTCTAGTATTTGTGGCAGCCAAAGCTCAGCGGCAAAGATACTGGTCTTCTAAGCCAGAGCCCTCAAGTTTGATTCTCGGCACTAACAGCAGCATTTTCATTTCTAAAAATGAATAATGAGACATCATTATGCTTTGAAGTGCATGTAAAAGCTGTCAGTCTACCTGGACAAGTGTGCAATTACACTTGTTACCTGAAACAGGGTTAAAGATGCAATTGGTACCAGAACAATCAGACAGGATCTGTCCCCTGGGCTAGTGTGCATCTCTACTAGTTACCTGAAACAAGGTTAAAGATGCAATTGGTGCCAAAACAATCAGGAAGGGAGTCCCTGGCAATAATGCCATATGCTATTATTATTATCTCATATTTTATAAGAATATTTTGTATACAATATAAAAATTGAGATTGTAAAGAGAGTACATACATTCAAAAAAGCTTTAAAATAAAAAAATAAGTGATTATTAATAATTATAAATATAGATTCTACATATTGTATTCTGAGAGTCCCACTTTCATTTAAAATTGATCAACTGACCAACACTAGTTGCTACTCCATCTTCATGTCATCAGCAGATCAGATATTCCTTTCCTTTTCAGTGAACATCACTAAATTCCTTCAAATACTCTTTTTTCATTTATTTATTTATTCTGTCTTGCACAAATCATACAAAATATATAAAATATCATTTTTGTACAAGATAAAATTAATAACTCTGTTAAAAAAATAATATGGATATCAGCTGGTTTTCAAGTACTAAGGGATATGTAATAAATACCCAATTAGATTTTATAAACAATGGCCAAAGTTGAAAAATTGTATTTTCTAACCTGGAATTTCCTGATTGCTTCTCAGATAAATTATCATAGGAGGATCTTTAAGATAGAGGAAAAACTTTTAATTTTGTTTTTTAAATGTTAAAATCAATAAATAATTTATGAGATATAAGCAAAAAATGGCCATTATCAATTAAGTGTAATAGTTTATAAGTTATGGAAAGTTTGATATTGTCACTTAACCTCATTATTGCAAAAGTTAATAACACCCTAATTAAATAGAAAAAAATAATGGTTTTAGCAGTTATCTCAATAAATTATTTACCTATTTTTGATTATCTGCCACTGTTTAGACCAAGGATACACACCCTGATTTCTAATCTTTATATATCTATATCACTTACGTTTAAGTAAAACCAATAACTTTATGTTCACAGTCTATGCTAATTAGTCTCTATTGGTATTGATAAACTGTGTTAGGCTTTCACTGCCATCATTTAACTTGTTAAACTGTTTGTTCAGGCTATTAGGCCTTTGTCTTCTGAGATTAGTTCTCGACGTTTCGCCAATACTAGGGGTTATCATCTTCTGGAGATGTTAATGCTTCGCTTGTAAACAGAAATTGACAGTTTCTGCTTACAAAAGAAGTCAGTTTCAGCTTACAAGCTAAGCATTAACATCTCCAGAAGATGCCAACCGCTAGTGTTGGCGAAACATCGAGAACCAATCTATTGGTATTGTCATACATATATTTCAAGGATGTTTATTAGGATTGCCACTGCCACAATATGATGTCTCTAATATTCCAATGGTCACTAACATGTTATGGTATCTCCCATCTTTACCACGAACAGGATAAACTACCCGGCCTATTGAGAACCTTTGAGTTCTAAGAGGGATATTTGTCATTTTTTATTTACAGATCAAATATAATAGTTACATAAATAAAAATTTACAGAATTATATCACATATGATTAAGTCAAGTCTTAACTTTTATCAACCTTTTCATTGTTAAAATTCCATACAGGAATAATTTTTAATGGGTGTTAGCATTAGAGGACTACAAGTTTGAAGATGTTACAGGAAAGTTCAAATTAGAGACAGCCCAAGCACTCCTGACCATGACGCAGTAGACGAAATTTAGTTTAGTCCCCATTTCCATGTGAAACACATTGTACTATGCACTGTATAGTACACCTTTAGTTACAAACTTACAATAGAACCTCTCTGCCTTTACGTGAATTTTGACTCTGCCTTCGCGCAGCTCCATGGTCAGAAGTGTTTGCACTATCTATAACAGGAATAAGAATTGGACAAAGGGTTATAAGGGAGAGCGCCCACCAAAGTGGCGTGGCACGTGTCTAGTATGTTACTTAAAATGTAACCAATAAAAACGAATGATTCAGCGCACACCAAAATGACAGTGACATCATTGGATCTAATCATTTGTTCGCATTGGTTACATTTTATGTAACATGCTAGACGCTTGCTACTTGCTACGTGCCAAGCCACTTTGGTGGGCGCTCTCCCTTAAAGTGAAAATAGCTGTGATGATTACCAACCTCCTTAGAGGAGACAGTACCTAAAGAAGAAGAAAGGGTTATATTAAATATTATTACCATTATGTTTATATGGAATTAAGGCACAGTTGATTATAATGAAAATTACATTTTTAACTAATATTTGATGTTTCAATTAGACAGCAGTTAAAAATCTAATTTTCATTGCAATTAACTGTATCTCAATTCCGTATAAATATAATATTTAACTTATGTCTCAAGAACAGTTTCAGAACCCTTTTAAGGAGTTATAGTATGAGAATATATTTCTTTTAATGCTTCAAACAAAAGGGATCACCAGTGGTGTTTTAAGGATGAAACAGCGATGGAGAATGATTTAAACAACTTTTTCATACTAAAAATTATTCTAGGGTTTATTTGGAATAAAATACTCGACAGTACAGCGTCTATATTCTTTGGTACAAGAATCAAGTATTTGTTGTAGATAGGTGGCCCTGTACTACTTTGTGCAAAAGCGTTACAGACCTGTATACTGGAAAAATTCTCCCTAAATAGATAAGGTGTCCTAAAGTGCTATAAATTTATTTTAACTAGACTATAAAAAACAAATATGCTATACCTATTTTGTCAATAAATCTTTCATCCACCAATGATTTAAGTAGAAGCCATGTTGAAGTCGTACTAAGGGGTATATGTCGTGAAACACTCACCTAAAAACTAACTATTCTCCGCCTAGAGGCAATAAAATTACGATTTTACAGAAATAATTCTTCACTGCGATAAAAAAAGCTCGTTTCTGTTCTTAATCTTTGGTTTTTGATACCTTACAAAATGGCGATATTGGAGTGGCGTTTGTTATTGATAACAAGCAAAAAATGATGATTGGTGATTGGTTGTGATGACGTAACGATTACTTCGAAAGAATCGATTGTTTTCATTGAATAAAAGTACATGTATGCTAAAAACAATATGTTTAAGTAAAAATAATTATTTTATTATTAGTAAATGTAAATTTTTAAAAATAATAGGTTCGTTTACAAATATTTAATATTTCTTTATTTGATACCAACAAAGATTAAAATTTTTCGATTAATCCAACTATGGATATCAAAATTCGATTTAATCAAGGAAGAACTGTCATCATTTCTAATCAGATTTATCAGAAACTATCAGGTGCTACAATAAGTAGTTTATTTATGAACCATTTCATTATTATTTAAAATATCATTTTAATTTAGAGGCTGTTTTAAGATAATTATAGCTATAGTACAAGTAATTGATACTAATAATGTTGTGATTGCTATGTGGTAAATAATATGCAAATAAAGCTATATGCCTTATTTGTATGCAATTATTGACACAAAACATAGAAATAAACTATTAAAACAAATATATAACACCATGTTAATTAAAACTATTCAATTTTCATAAATAAATATTGTTTCCTATAAGTTTTTCATAGACAATTTTCCTTTTGTTACGTCATACTGTCAAATGTCATTCTTGTCTAATATTCCCTTTGTTATCTTTGATAACGAACGAACTTGTTCCTACAAATGAAATAAGAAAAGGGTACTTTTATTACAAAAAAATATTTACATGCATTTATTTATTACTTATTTCAACTTAAAAATAAGTTGTTCAATATAAAACGTATTGGCAATTGTGTATGATTGTAAAGTTAAAACAATCAATTGTTGTTTTTATGTATTCACAATGAGTTTCTTGTTGTAAGTATGAAGCCTATTTTTAACTTTTAGTAAGAATTGAGATATTTATCATGACAAAAATAAATAAATCGTTTCATGAGTAACACTATTAATTAGCAGTATAGATTTTTGATAGGCGTTATTTAGAAATTATTTGATGTTTCTTTTGATAATGGGTAATTGAAAATTTGATGTACTTTTAATTCCAGAAAGCTAGTCATCTTGATATTTTTGTACTAATATTTGGTAATAATAGTTATTTTACTTTTTTCAGCGGAAGTCGTTCATCTAAAACATTTAAACCAAAGAAAAACATACCAGAAGGAACCCATCAGTATGAGTTGATGAAACATGCTGCTGCTACATTGGGATCAGGAAACTTAAGACTAGCTGTGATGCTTCCAGAGGGCGAGGACTTAAATGAATGGGTTGCAGTGAATAGTAAGTAGATCTCAGGTTTCTATGAAATTTTGTGTATACATACACAAACTCCATTTTATTTTTTTATGAAAAATATTCACAACAAATGATACTGTTTAGTCCCAAACCTTTTGGTATTGTCTAGACATTATTTACTAAAAATAAAAATGTTGCTCCTCTTTGACAGTCCATCCACAGGCATTGTATATTTTGTTTTAGCTGTGGACTTCTTTAATCAAATTAATATGCTTTATGGAACAATAACCGAATTTTGTACAGAGGACAGCTGTCCTATAATGTCTGCCGGACCAAAATATGAATACCATTGGGCAGATGGTCATACAGTTAAGAAACCCATTAAATGTTCAGCACCAAAATATATTGACTATTTAATGACTTGGGTCCAGGACCAATTAGATGATGAAACATTATTTCCATCAAAAATAGGTAAGCAATTTTGTATTTCTGAACTTTTTTACCTATTAAATACTTATTCTTTGTTTCCAGGTGTCCCATTTCCAAAAAACTTTCAATCCATTGCTAAAACTATTCTGAAGAGGCTGTTTAGAGTGTATGCCCATATATATCACCAACATTTTAGTGAAGTGGTGCAATTGGGAGAAGAGGCGCACTTGAATACATCCTTTAAACATTTTATATTTTTCGTGCAGGTAAATATGTTGTTTCAACCATAAAATCTCTAATAGAATTTTTGGTATGTACATTCACAATATGCCTTTACAGAAATTTAATTCGATTTGCTTTAATTTTATATAAAAACATACATATATGTCATGAGTAGTATATTTGAATTAAAATTATCAGTATTCTCAAACAGTTTAGTATTTTAAAACATGAATGTCAACAAGTTAATTAAGTGCAATGTAACACTACATTGTCTGATTGGCATTAATTCGTAGAAAAAAATTCATTTTTCTATGACTATGCAAAGGCTGATTTTCATCTTTTATATGTCCTCATTCAAGATATAGACTGGCCAGAGCTGAAGAGGTGCTTGGATGTGGATGTATGTATGCAGTTGTTTTATGAAAAGTTGTATGCATGCATTGATCAGTCAGTACCTAAAAAACAGTCGAGGAATGTATTAAGAACAACAAACAGGTATCCTACTTTCTTTACTTCAGAACTTATATCGAAGATTAAATGTAAGAATTGTCTTCATAGGCAGGTAAATAAATCTGCAAATGCTTTGGTTTTGGCTGAATATAAATCACTGAGACGAGAGGTGAAACAGCTTAGTAGGAAAGCCTATAGGTGTCACAATGAAAATATTGAGAATGATGTACAAACTGACTCTAGTAAGTTTTTGGTCCTTTATACTCTTCTTCAAGGAGTGTCCATCAAGATCCTACAATGGTAGCCCTGAAGACTTCCTGTTTGCAACTTCAGAGTCAATTGATTATATTAATACACTTAATGTGTGTAACTATTTAAAGTTTGTCATATACCTATAGAATAACTGAATCCTTGATTTTGCTATTACTTAGTACTTCAATAATTAAATAAAACATTTTCTTTCAGGAATTCAGCTTGATTGAACGCCGAGAACTGGCCCCTCTACAAGAATTGATTGATAAGTTAACTGCGAAAGAGACTCGATGAATACTGTAAGCTTAATAGGATCTATATACCTCTGCCTTGTATTTAATTTGACTTGTGTGATCCCTTTTGGTCTATAGAAGATTCTAACAAGGAACACATATTGCACATGATATACTTTATACTTTAGCGATTGAGTTGAAGGAGCGATTTTATTATTTAGGATTTTCTTTTTACTGTTATATAGTTTTGTTATATTTATAGTAGTTCATTCGATATTTTTTATATCTAACGCAGTACGAAGTATTTATTTAGATTGCTTAATACAATTTGTGAAACTTTGGAAGTGACAGGGTATAAAATTGATCAAATATTTGGACTATTTTGTCACTTCAATGTTTTTTTATTTAAGTATCGTCTAGATCTAGTCAAACGATTTAGTTTTTGAGCATTTTCATTTTACAACAGTTATGAATCATTTTAATGTGCAAAATATGTGAAAAAATAAATTAAAGCAACATTTATTATAAAAGTGACATGAGGAAGTGTATTTTTTATTGAATACTTAAGAATCATGTTATGTTAACTAATTTTCAACAATTCGAAGTAGCAAAATGGTCCAAAGGTTATATCTATAGTTTTTAATTTACTATTATACTTACCAAGTTTCATAAACACCTGCTTCTTAGGGTTCCTGAAAGATTTAGGACATTAAACATATTTTTATTTAACTTTGTTTGTAAATCACACTTTACAACTTGACAATGACTGTTTGGGTTTCATAATTTGGGTATAGCATCGAATATACTGCTTGAAGCTATCTGGGGACTTGCACAATCATTCTGAAGTTGTAACATACTGCACTGAAGTGCTCTGGAGTTTTATCCAACACCACTGTTTTAAAAACACGAAAAATTTATAATAGGCTGTTAGTAAATATTTTATTTTCTTGTTTCTGTGTCAGTTTTTTAATACTGTTCGGTAAATACATGTTACTTTCACATTATTTGATTGAAAATACTTCTAAAATCTTGTTTTTTGACTTTAACCATAAAAATTGTTTTGGCATTGGTTAAATAGCCTAGTTTTTTTGTTGTAAGAGATTTCTAGTTTTCCCCTCATTTTGAAGTTCACTTTTAATTTTCTCGAATATTCCTGCCAAGTTTCTTAAAATTTTTAAAGAGAATATCACTGGAGATGACAAATTTCACCAGGGCTGTAGAAGAATACACAGAAAATAATGCAAAAATTGCATTGTTTCATAGAAATCAAAAAATTAATGTATTTTACTGAAATTCATAGTGTATGATGATCTATTAGTTATTCAAAAAATGCTATGTATCCGAGAACTCATCTAATTTAATGAAAGGATTGTCCAAAGGTGTTAAATCCGCAGATTAAGGTGGGCGTTTTCGCTAAAACGTTTTCGGAATCCATATTCCATCATCAGTGTCTAGGAGTACATAATGTAGCCACTAAATATATGGGTAAAAACCCGTTAACAAATAATTAGTTACATTTGGTATACAATATTTCTTATAATATGTTAAGATGTTAAAGTTACTGTTGGATAAGGTAACATGGCGACATATGACTGCACGATGAAGTTGCTAGTCCTGAGACGGTGTAGCAACTAAGTTCCTTCCATAGTCTTTGTAGACACTACAGCCAACTACAGGAAGTAGATTCCTTGTGGATTTTTCTCTTATTTTCCTTATTTGATTATGCAGCTGTTGATATTATTTTGCCTTCTTCTGTCCTCCATCATTTCCAACATTTCTTCTGTCATCCAATCTCCTTTCTTGCATCTGGTTGTTGTGAGTTCTCTGCGCTTGGTTCGATAATTGCATTTTTAAATAATTGCCACTGTTGTTCTACATCACCATCAATTGATTCCGGTGTGGATTCTAGGTTTGCATTAATTTCTTGTTTCAGTTTTTCTTTGAAGTCTTCTGATTTAATTTTTGTATGTTTGGTTTATCACTTTTGTAGCTTTTTTGTATCTTTTTTAAGTGAAGTTTGAATTTTGCTACAAGAGGTTTGTGGTCAGGGAAACCTATAAAGTGCCTTTGCAGTCCCAATAGACCAATGCAATGATTTCTCTCTCTAAAAACTTAGTTTTTCGTTGATATGGAATGAGTGTGAATGTCACTTTTTACTCTGAAGTATAATAAAGTTAAGAAATGAGTCAACTGGGTTAGTAAGTGCAAACAGAACAAGTTAATCGATGTGTTAGGCTATTGTATATGTTCATAGTGTATCAGCAATATATACATAATGAAATAAACATTAATGACATGGTTGAGAAGTGACAGCAACATAAACTTGAGTAGGAACAAGTAAGTGCATCATACTCAAAATAATTTTTCTGGTTAAAAGTTCAGTAATGGCGGTCGAAGGAAACAAGTGAATTAAAAATACTGTTGGTAATATTTATATGTGAAGATTAATTACTTTTGCTAGACAATCTGGTGTAATGGATGAAATTTATATACAATATTCTTTGCACATGACTTCTATCGATATCGTAATATGTTTAAGCTTCACCAAATCCACTTAAGACTATATTGGACAAATTATTTTCGTCTAGCTTTGTGTATGTTACTAAATTAGTCGCAAAATGTGTCGTATGTAATAAGGTGTTAGATAAAATTATTTTTTTATTTTTTATATTCGACGCAAGAAGTATTTTCATAGATGTTTTCTCCCTAAATCAACCAAAGTGATAATATGTGAAAATCTTTGGCATTTTAAATTACAATAAAATGAACAATATTGCAGATTTTTATTTCATCCTCTTGTCAGTTCCATTTTTTCCTTGTTTTGCTTGTAATAAGCTAAGGGACACTATCGTGTACTATTGAATAAGAAGTAAGTAAAAGTACTATAATCCATTTACAAATGGTAGAGAGCACGAAATGTGCCTCAAAGTCATAAAACGGTCGTAAAATTTGTATCATCATAGGCGTTCCTGAGGTGTTTATTTATTGAAATTGAATTGATTAAAATAAAAATAAGAATTTAACCATTAACAATGTTGTAAATAAGAATACCTTATCTCTTTGGATATTTCAATACTAATCTTCGCGTTTAATCACTTACTAGAAAACCTGGAGTTCATATCCGAAGGTACTATTCGTTGCAAGATAATTAGGATGGAATTCCCCAGTTTTTTAATAATATTAATGGTATAAAGATACGGCTTTGGCCACGTGCCTCGTCTGTCAGTTTATATTCGAAACTTAACTGAAGTCAAAGACTGATATTTTTTGTACACACTTATGACAAGTCAAAAGAAAATGTAAAAAAGTATTTTTGAAGTGTGTATATTTTAAGCAAATCCTAGCTGAGCGCTTTCGGCTTTACAAAGCCATCATCAGAGCTATGGTTCAATTTATAAATACCACTACAATTGGAGATCTCATTTCCTTATATGTCGAAATTATGATTTTTTTTTAGTTAAAGTTTTAGTTTAAGAATTTCAATAACTAAAAAAATCATAATTTCGACATATAAGGAAATGGGATCTCCAATTGTAGTGGTATTTATAAATTGACCATAGCTCTGATGATGGCTTTGTAAAGCCGAAAGCACTCAGCCAGGATTTGCTTAAAATATACACACTTCAAAAATACTTTTTTACATTTTCTTTTGACTTAACTTGAAAGGGTGAAGTTATTACGAACGAAAACAATTTTTTTGTTTAGTACGTTTTTGATTGTATGTAATTTACGGCTCGTCGGTGTTTCCGCGTCTACGGCAGTAATTAGCGTCCTCGAATATTTCTTTTGCTAATTATATGCAGTGCGTGAGTGATTTTTTATTCCATATACGTACCTTTCGCTTGTGCTCGTTTTGTTGGATTGTTTGTGATGGCTTCATTATTAAAATCATCAAGTTTTACACCGGTACTGTTGCGTACAGTCAGTAAGTCTGTCTATTCACCAAGAGAGAAGACTATTGTCCTGAATGTTCACGATGCTCTGGTTTCTCAGAATGCCACAAACACTGTTCGCAACATAATCGAAAATTGTGCCAACATGACTGGCGTAGGGGAGTCAACTATATATAGGTTCCTATCGGAAAGAAAAAACACAGTATAGCTAACCCAAACACAAACGAACACTTAAAGAGAGGGAAAAGTCTATTGAAATTGTTGAATATGCCAAAAATGGTATTCGAAGGAAAATTCATGGATTTTTTTCAAAGAAGAAATACCAACTTAAACAAAATTTTACAAGAAGTGTAAAGACTTAAATTTCCGTTGGGAGAAATCAGACCGAAAATCACTTTTGATTGACCGGGAGGAGATATGTTGGAGAAGAAATTATCTAAGATCCATACGAAAATTCGGGCTGAAGGAAGGCCAATCTTCTACCAGGATGCAACATGGATAAACTCAGGTCATACTCTAAAAAAAAATTTGGTCGGATACAAAATATATTAAGCTCCAGGGAAGCCTTTATGGAAGGTTGGTCTACTGATATCTCCCCACCTGGTAAAGGCAGTAGATTAAAGGATTCCCCACACCGACGCGAAACTTTTGCGACGCGAAACCGTTGCGGAACATTCGCAGGCGGAGCACTATTAAATTCATTATATATTAATTATATAATGAAAGCTTACCATTTTCTCTAGAAATGACCCTATATTATCCCAGACTTTATCCTTTTTTCTTATATTATTTATAATCTTCGTCACTTAAATCATAAATTATAGGATATTGTTTCACAATTTCAATTAGTTTTTCTGTAACAGCCATTTTAATAATTCACGCGAAACTAAATCTTGCTAATAACTGCAGCGGAAAAAACCGTGCATGCAAGCGTTTTCATGAAACGTCAACGCTGTGTCTGCCGCGACCGTTCCGGTTTCCGTCCGAACTTGTCTGAACACATGCATTAAGTCGCCGTGCCTTACGATTCGCCGCGAAAGTTTCGCGTCGGTTTGGGGAATCCTTAATAATTTCTCACATTATCAGTGAAAAAGGATTTGTTAAGCATGGTTGTTGGTGAATTTCAGTCCAAAAGCACAAAATACTATCACGAGGAGATGACAGCTGATGTTTCTGAAGTGTATCTGAGCAGATGATTGAACACATACCACCAAATTCAAATTATAGTATTAGATAATGCACCTTATCATTCACGACTAGTAGAAAGACTTCCAACGACTGCGTGGAAGAAACAGGATATTCTTGACTGGCTGCGATATAAGTAACAGCCTTACGAAGATGGAATGGTAAAGCAGAACTTTAAAAACTGCTCAGCAATACAAATCTAAGTTCAAGAAATACATAGTTGACAAAATGGCGGAAAGGCGAAACATCACAGTCCTTATATAATTACGATTAGAAAACAATTCAAATTCAAAATAAATAGGATCAACTTCGGAATCTGAGTCGTCTTGAGGGTTAATAATTAGCGGTTGTGTCTCTACGGTCTCATCAATTATGTTATCAAGATCCCACATTTTTTGTTCTTCTTCTATTACATGTCTTACTGCGTCTTTCCAGTTTTGTTCTGTAATATGTTGGTTGTACTATGGTATTGTAATTTAAACTATTAATGGAGTTATCCACTGTACTAAATAAATAACTAAATATTCTAAAATCTAATATTTAATAGTTAAAAAAAATACACATAAACATCTGTAAATACATAAAACAAAACATTAATCTTCTGGAATTTTGTCTACAAAACTTATTTCGAAGGCAAACGAGTGCCCTTCTTGGAAGGTCAAATAAAATTCGGCCGCGGATGAATCGCTGTCGAAAGTTGCCTTCAAAGTTCTCCAACTGTTGGCACCTCCTGCCCACTCAACAGCCTTCCAAATACACTCATTATCTTCTCTCTAAAAATTCACACAGGGTTAGGTCAGGCAAAAAAAAGTGGACGGTTCAGCACGTTTTGATACTACTTTGGTTTTAATATTGTTGTGTCATTTGTATCTCACATTAGCAAATTCACAAAATACTACAAGCTACTCGTAAAATAGAAATAACGATTTGGTTCAAACCACCAATGTAAGATACAAGAATGAAAGAATTTGTAAGTTTCTGAAAAATATGTCAAGCCTTACCTCCAATTTGGAATTCGTTCCAATCATAGTGCTACTTAAATTGACTTCGTTCTCATCATTAAAGATAATTCTAGCAGCGTATATATTGGGATCGTAAAATATCTGTATATATCCGTTTCCGACTGGCTTCCATTGATCATTCGGGCCTAGTTCGCTCAAAGAACATTCCTTAGTGAACATTGTCCTAGAAAATAAAAACTCATCTTAAAAATATATAATGCTAAATAAAGAAAGAATAAAAAATTAAATTCCTCCGCCTACGATATTGGTAAACAGTTGTATTAATTCATGGTCAGACCAGAGCAGTGAATATTTGCTATTAGAATAGCCAAAAAGTGTCAAGCAACAAAGGTATAAGGATAGAATCACTACCTAGAAGACATTCTTAGTGAACATATGGCAACATGGCAGGAATTGAATAAGTCAAGAAAGAATCGAATAAATTAAATAAGTCATTTAATTAGGATAATAATTGAGAAGAAAGTGCCTTTGTGACATAAAATCAAATGATAAAGTATGTGGAAAATGATGAAAGTACCAAATTCCTTGAAATAACTACTGAAATACCTGATAATTTGGTAACTGACCATGCCGAAGTGGTAGTCAATTTTAAAATATGATCTCAAAATCGTAAACTTTCAATTATGACGATTCAAAACGTATCATCAGATAACTTGAAAATTTGAGGTTAAACATATGTCAACACTGATTTAAGCTACACCCAAGGAAACTATACACCTGGAAATCTCCACAGGATTCTGTGGGAAAGATTGTAAGAAATCAGATTGGTTACATGCTAGTAAATAAGAGATATAGGAACAGCTGTTACTTCTGTCAAAACATACCCGGATCAGACATAAATTCCGATCATGTACCAGTTGTAGGTAATTTCAAAGTCAGAATGAAGAAGTATTGTCAAACTTTCATTTCCAATCATCTGGGGACTCCTCCTCTGTGAAGGACATTCGTTGAAAAAATTTTTAATTCTTCGAGCGAATAATTTCACTCCCTCCTTCAACATTTCATACAAGAATTCCATCTGGGCTTGGAGGCTTATTGTTGTTTAGTTGGTCCGTTGCTTGTTTTTTCTTTCGAAGATTCTATGTTAGGGAGTATTTCGAGTTGACATTCCGTATCTTTCTCTTAAGATCTTCCTTTGCAGTGTTATCTGGTTTATTGATTAAGGGATATAATTACGTAAAATGTTTGAGTAACTTTATGATTTCGTTTCTTTCTTATTTCTTTCCCTTTAACTCTACCGATCACTACTACCGTGAATGCCGTGCCGTGAATAGTGAACAGTGTAGTAGTGTCTGGGGGCTCGGGAGACTGAGACCTCGGAGCCCTGAGGAAGACATCAGAGAGGATGTTTTATTGTACTAACCGCGGAAATCTTTCCGAAAAACTATATATAATATTATATATATATATATATATATATATATATATATATATATATTATAATATATATATATTGTTGTACTTATGAATGTCCTAAGCAATAAAAAACCGATATTACAAATTTTATTACTTAAATAAAAATTAAAATTATTGATATGTCAAAAGACACGGCATATACAATTTTCAAACATCCTGTATCAGACAAAATATGTATTTTAAGTTGTTCGAAGAATTGTTCATTAGGCCTCAGAGACAAGACTTTCAAATATTTATCGATAAGAAATTTAAATAAGTCGGTTATTGTGGAATGGATTTTACCCGGAATAAAAGTGTATATACGAAAGTGTTTAAACAATAGACCGGGAATTTGCGGTGGTTTTATCTCCGAAAGATTATATCGGTAAAAGTTTATTAACAAAAGACATTGAAATTGAGAACAGGTATCGTTTGTAGCTATTAGTAAGAAATATTTGTAAAGCAGATGATTTAGTTAGAATAATTAAAGACTGTGTTTTCTGGAATTACCCGAATGACGTGTTTATAGAGAGACAGTGGGTTGGTAACGATATATGTCACAGAGGTGGATGATTTTTATGGATGGTGTGTGGCTTTGGCTATGAGATAGGAGAGGAAAAAAGTTAGTTAAGTCAGTTTTCGTGGTCCAAGAAGGAAGGAGCTTTGTGATTTGTATGTTTGAAGTCCCGAAGACGTAATTTACCGGGTGTGTTTATTTGCTTGTGTACAAGCTGACCAGTGTGAGGACCGGGGGTACAGAGAGATAGAAAAACCAAAGGGTATACGAATATTAATATCAGACGAAGCCGGAAACATATATGGAGTTATAAACAGGTCGCGGAGATTGGCTCAAAAGGAGGCTGCATAGAATAACTCGAGTTGTTGGGTTGCAGATACAAGGACAGATAGGAGAAAGGTGTACGTCATCTGGACCACAATAGGAGCAGAAGCAGAGAAAGGTTTTTTTTGGCGTGGCCATAGAATTGCAACTGCAGAGAAAGAAAGGTCAGTCAATTTTCATTAGAGTCAGGAGTGTGGTTTTCATTTATTAAATTAATAAATTGAATAAATAATAGAGACAGTTAATTTGCGATCATTTAAAAAAAAAATTATAAAAAGAGCTTAGTTATAACACATATTAAAAATCAAATGTAAAATAACATTTGGAATCCATGATAGAAAACACTTCTCATATATTTAAAGTTAGTATATTGCAAATATTACAGGATTGATTGTTATATAAAATTGCATTAAAATAAAGGACATCTCACATATAGTTCAGTTGAAATTCTATGTATTTTATCAGGTCATATTACCTATCCCAATTAGGAAGCCAAATGGAAAAATATTTGAATCCACGATCAAAGGTAAATAGTACAAGTTAATAGCCTGAGATTTGTAATTAATTAATGCTGGTTTATGTATTTAATAATTGGAGATTAGATCATTTAATAAATATAGGACAGGATTTTCTAAATAAGCAATAATAATAAGAAATTAAAATAGCATAACAATATATATAAAATATATATATATATATATATATATATATATATATATAATATAAAGGAACTTAGGCCTATGTCCAAAGTTGGATTACTTAAGGCTGAAGAAGTAAAGACGTTTAGTGAAATCAGACCAGCAGATCGAGGGCCAAGAAGACTGACTTGTAAAGATTTTTATAAGCTTTATTTCGTGTTTTGTTAATTAAATTTTGGCATCTTTAAAAACTGAACCAAACAGGACCATAATTAAGACAGAGGTGCATTCAACATTTTTTTTTTCTTCAAATTTATACAATTAGAAAAAAATTTCTGGTTAAAATTAAACTAGTTACCTCTCATATTCTTCATCCTCGACGTACTCATCATCATCGTCGTACTTATACTCCTCATCGTTTTCCTCGTTATCTGGATCCAAAGGATCCTCTTGGGTTTCGCTATCACGACTTTTATCATTGCCGAAATCTTCTACTGTGACGGGAAGATCTCCACTTTTGTTCGGCGAATTTGCTATACTGTACAAAACATCTCTAATGGCGTCGCTGAATTTAGCAGCCAATTCTGTGGTTCTAAAACAGCACCGCCAATTTTTCGAAGCAATTTTCGTCATCGGTGTAGTTGTATCCGGCCCATATCCACGCTTTGTCGCTGGTAGCCATCGGTTGAAGCTCGAAATTGGGGGTTATGAGTTGGTTGAGGACTACTTTGAATACTTGTTCGCGTCTCAATAACAATCGGTAGGTATCTGAAATTTAAACAGTCTAGAAATGAACCCAAAAAGGCAATCGAAAGCACGACTTACTTTTCTTCGTGCAAAAGAACTTTCAGCTGCCCCACTCCTCTTTCTTTCCATTCTTTGGCATCTGCATCGAATCTAAAAGTTTGGCTCTCTCGTTGAACACGACGGCTTCGTTTTCTTCTCCCGTGGTTACGGTAACGGCTTCTGGAAGAGGTATGATTGGTTCGTAGTGAGGGTCGTACTCTTCGTTCGCGCCAGAAGCGTTGTTTTCGTCATCAGACTCGCCTTTAGAGGTGTCGGCAGCTTTTTTAATGTTGGTAAATACCGGGGCTCCAGTACCAAGGAACGAAAATTTTTCATCTAAAAAACAGCAGTAAACATTATGATTATGATTAAAAAGCTGCAAAAAATAAGTATGGATAAAAGTAGTCTGAGATCACATTTAATGTTCCGACCTTGAGATATAGTTGGCTATGATAGATTACGTATAAAAGTTTTTTAATACTTCGTATTTCCGTGAGACTGCAAAAACATATGTATATGTAATAAAATCATTCAACAAAAAGGTACTCTACCAGGAGTCTGTAAAATTATCAATGACTCAGACGTATAATAATACAAAGTTTCCAGATTCCACTCGATATTAACATTATCAGACGTGCCTGGTATAATCTTTTAAAATATGAACCAGATATGAACAAATCAACCAATTAGTTTCAATCGGACTTATGATAAGTCCACGTGGACTAACGGCCAATGAAAACATCGGATATCGCTGTAAGACAAATCATAAATACGGGAGTCAATAAAATAAGGGATCAGGTTATCGACCGTCCAGTGCCGAAGCACGGGACGGGGAAAACTTAGGTAGGCAAATTTTATATATTTTATTTTTAAATTGCGGATATGACCAACAGATTTTTGGGAGATAGATTATTTTTTAGTAAAATCATAACTGCTACAGCGTTCAGTTAAATTCAAATTTCAAATAGTGAACCGCAAGTTAGTTTGGTCAGTGACTTTTTCAGGGTTCTTTATACGAGAAAACATTTTATATTTTACGTTTTTTACTTTTTTTGATACGTTTTTACGTGATTATGTTTTTTATACGTTTGATAATTTTAAATATATTGCGTCCGTGGTGCGACTAATAATTATGTAGCTGAAGAGACAATGGAACCCTCTAATCGATTGGAAGATTTACAAAGGCGTGTTGTTAAAACGTAAAGCGACATTTTCATACCTTTGCCACCAAAACGTATGCTAAAAAATGTTTATGAAGGACTGTGGGCTGAATTGTCTAAATCAGAGGCAATTGCAGAAACATGTTTTTTAACCAGAGTGGCCCAAACAATACTGCTACAAAATTATTAGGAGAAAACATCTTCTACACAGCAGAGAAAGGATTGTGGCAAATTTCAGAAAAATAGAACCGCACTTATTGAATCTATAACTAGAACAATATACCAAATGTATGCGGCTAATATTTTCCAACTATTGAAAGCCTTCGAAGTGAATTAGTTCGAAAGTGCATTCTCTCGTGTTCAGCAACAACACATTTGATAATTTCTTAAAGCCAATAATTTTTAAGTACACAAAACTATAGACAAGAGACAGACATTAATGGAAAGTACTAGAATAATTTCTTTAAGAAACAATTATATCAGACAGATAACTGAGTATCGAAAAATGAAACGAAATATTGTTTATTTAGACGAGACCTGGTTGATACTCATGACACCGTGAAAAAAAAGTTGGACAAATAGATAACAAAAAGTGTTTCAAACTCAGTACCAGCCCAATAAAAGAAAAGAGGATTATAATTTTACACTACGGTGGAGAAAATGGATGGGTCGACGATGCATTATTAATATCTGCAAAACAAATTAAAAACGCGTCTCTGGATTATCATGACGATATGGAAAGTTCAATTTTTGAATCATGGTTTGAAAAATGTTCTTATTCAGAAAATTACTTTAATAATGTGATTATCATGGACAACGCATCATATCATTCAAGATTAATGAAAAAAACTTCAAATAATAGTTGGAATAAATTAAAAATTCAGGAATATTTATTCACGGAAGATTTGCATTTTGAGACATCTTATATTAAAAAATCAATTGTTGGAGGTTGTTCATAGTAAACAGAACGAAAAGGAATATTTATGTTGTTGACAACTGTGCTCGTAGTAACGGGCATACTGTGTTTAGACTTCCTCCTTATTATTGTACATTGAACCCATAGTAGTTACTAAGGGCTCAACTTAAAGGAAATAATAATGAGAAGAAACATTGCTCAAAAATTTTTTGTCTACTGTCTTCAGTTAATAAGAAGAGAAGTCACAAAAATTACAGCGAACCAACTGGAAAAATGTAATAAAAATATAACATGTGATAGGAGTGGAAAATGACTATGTTAAATATTTACCAGCATTAACCAATTACCTATAAATTTAGATGATACGAGTGATACTAGTGATAACAGTGATTCTGAGTAGATAGTAAGTACTTATTAGGTGTTAGCTGAAACCTTTATTTCTATTTTAATTGTAGATATTTCTCATTTTGCTTATATATCTTTGAAAACAGGGTATAAACACACTTCTTGATAGGACAAAAATTATTTAATGTTTTAGGGGAACCGATGTCAAACTGAAACTGTCACTGTCATTCTCGCTGAATAACATTCTATTATTAACAATGTTTTATATAGTATTATATTATTTTACAATAAGTTGTGTTCAGTCGAGTCGAATAGTGTTATCACTCCCAAGATATATCACAGAAGTTAAAAACACCGATATTTATTATTTAAACTTTATAGAAAAATGAAACTTTTTGGTAAATAAAAATTAAATAAAAGTAAAAACTTTTATTTAATTTAAAATTAGATATCTACGCTACTGTTCTACTACTATGTACTACAATAAAGTAGTGGTAACTCTAACAGCGTTGCCATTTTACTAGTATTTTGCTTGCTTTGGTCTCTGTAAATTTTCTCACGAAATTACGTGCCGACTATACAGTTAAGTACCACCCATGGGATGTAATGGGATAGTGAAGCGAAACATATAGCCACTCCTATTCAAATGTCAACGTCACCTGCTCGTATTTTGATCTAGATCATGATCTTCCTGCTAGATAACTAAGGCTATGACGTCCGAGTGTTTGCCGGGATAAGCAATCCACCATTTACTGGTCAACGGCTTAGGGCGGATGAGCTGGTACACTCTGTTGTCCTGAGATTGAAAATTGGTCTCGTAGGTGGAAGAACCAAGAAAGTGGTCAACGGCATCAAATCAGAAGGCAACGAGATCCACTGCATTAAAGGTCCTGATTGAGATCTCTAGTATAAATTATAATGGCTAGCACTATTTGCGCAAGTGACATTATTGATTGTGGTAATTGGAGAACAAAATCCGGCAGGGGAGGACAACCATCAGAACACAAGGCCTCCTCGGTCGAAAATATGCGAAACCCTTGCATAAAAAACCAAAAAAAAAAAAAAAATACTCAACCCTCTCAGATAAAAATAGCTACCTGGAATGTACGAAGTATGATCAGCCTGTCAAACTACGTAATGTTATTAAAGAGAAAAACGAGGGTTGGTAAAGAAATAGAACTAATCACCACTATACAAACTAGAAAACTGGAATAGCTAGGCCACGTGATGAGGGGGATCAAAATATGAAATTTTGAAACTCATAATATAGGGAAAGATTCAAGAAAGATCTGTTGGCCGAAGGCAGAACTCATGATTGAAGAATCGATTGATTTGTTTAGAGCAGCAAGTTAAAAAATAAAAATAGCCATTATGATTGCCAACCCTCATAGGGAGACGGCACTCTAAGAAGAATAAGTACCACAATTGTAGCAAGTGACTCATGTTTAATGGTTTTTTATAGGCTATTAAAATTGGAGGTTTACCATTTAGAAAACAATATTTTTGCGTCGACAAAAGGAAACAATTTTATTATTATTTAATAAACAAATAAGTGGTTTATTACAGAATCTGTTAATCTCTTAGCGGATCCATATTTTATTCCCGATTTGTTCGATCCAAATTAAGTTAAAAATGTTAAAAAAATCTACACAAAATAAGTATGATCTGTGTGGCTTACCTATTTTAAAACGGTGCTTCTGCATTTAACGACGTTTTGGCCAACGATCCGAACGATAAGTCCGAATTGCACTTAAATACGACTTCATCAGTCTCCTTCAAGTCTGTTGTAGACGGAACTTTAGGGGCGACTTTACTGGTGGGAACAGCAGACGCAGCTCCATTACCAAACAGAAAACCAGCTGGTTGGCTTTTATCTTCAGCTGCATTCGATACCTTGTTGCCGAGAATAGACCCAGAATTTGACGGTTGACCAAAAACGTTCGATGTAGCATTTACTCCGAAAATACTGGTAGAAGTAGTTGGTGTACTTTGGCCAAACAGCATCGAGGAGGTTTGCGGTGGATTTTTCGGCCCGAATATGTTCACGGTGGTAGTAGGGGTGTTTTGCGAGAACAAATTCGAAGTCGTGTTGGTTAAGGTGTTCTGGCCGAAAACGCTGGAAGTGGTATTGGTCGAAACTGTACCAAAAATGTTCTGAGTTGGAGTATTTTGGGCCCAAAGCAGTCGGAGTAGCAGTATTTTGTCCAAAAAGATTTGTGGTTGGAGTATTTTGGCCCAACGCTGTAGGTGTAGGAGTATTTTGTCCAAAAAGATTTGTGGTTGGAGTATTTTGGCCCAACGCTGTAGGTGTAGGAGTATTTTGTCCAAAAAGATTTGTGGTTGGAGTATTTTGGCCCAAAGCTGTAGGTGTAGCAGTTTTTGGTCCAAAAAGATTTGTCGTTGGAGTATTTTGTCCAAAAACCTTTGTAGTCGGAGTATTTGGTAAAAAAATGTTAGATGTGGTGGTTGGGGTTTGACTAAATATAGATGAGCTGGTAGTAGGTGGCGTGTTTTGTCCAAAAATGTTCGAAATGTTAGAAAACGGTTTGAATGGTTGTTGACTATCGAAACTGAATATACTGGAGCCAGAGGAAAACGCTGAACTAGACACCGGAGTAGTTTTAACATCGGATGTAATGTTGGTATTAAATATATTGGTATTTTCCTTATTGGGGGTGTCACCTCCGAATAATTGGTACTCGAAAATAGACCCCCAGTATTGAATGAGTTATTTGTCGAAGAAAATATGTTGGTACTTGATGCTGGTGGCCACGACACAGTTGATGATGTTTTGTTTGCACTTGGAGGGGTTAGAATTGCCGTTTTATAAGTGAACCAGACTTATTCGGAGATGCGTCTTTTGGCGCAGTCTTGGAATCTGATAATTTAGCAGTGGCGAAGGAAAATTTGCTAGATGGGGTTGCTGTGCCATCGACTTTTTTTGGAGCTTCTGTAGCGAAAAGAGACTTCAAGTATTCGTCGTCCTTTTTGCATTGTTCGCAACTACAGTCTGGCAATTGTTTATAAGACATAAACTTGGGTGGAAGCCCTAACTTTATCGCTTCTTGCTCCTCTTCCGGTGTTACTTGGGTCTCGGATATTAGCACTACATCTTCTTCAGATTTCTTTGACGTCACTGCAAATGGAAATCGTTTTTTATGGTATTCTCATTTCCTAAATGTTTATAAAAGCCACCAAATTCAACAATTATAATGCAATTTCATTAAAACTTACGTTCATTTTCTGTAGGTTTTCCATCCAGAGCATCACGAATGGCCTTCTTAAAGTCCGCGGCCACTTCAGCGTTCTTGAATCTCACACAGAATTTCTCATTGACTATTTCACCTTCGGAAAAATCGGCCGCCGCGAACATAACAGATTTCTCGTCTTTATCAATGTATTCTATATCTTTTGTGAGAGTATGATTTAGACATATTTTGAGCACTTGTTCTCTGCGCATTACGACTCTGAAACAACGACAGGCAATTGTATTGGCAGATAAATTACTTGTTTAGTATCTACACCAGGGGTGCTCAAACGGTCGATCGCGATCGACTGGTCGATCGCGAGTGCTTTTTGGGTAGATCTCGAGAAGAAAAATTTTTTAATAAGTAGGTAGGTAACTAAACTACTGTCAGCAGAGTTAAACGTTTTTCTTAATACTGAACTATACAAATACATAGAATGCTTGACTAAGCATCATTACAATTCAAAGAAGGTGGGGACAACAAAATACTGTCCACACAGCATATTTTATATTTACATATATTAACTAATTATTTTATTAATTCAATTATTTATTATAATTATTAATCAAATTTGGGATGATATTCTATCAACTACAAAAATGTATTACGTAATAAAATAAACACTTGCTTGCGGCAAAAGGTAGGGGCTTTATCAAAGGAAACGCGCGGCACTTGTCAAAGAAAAGCCGTGTTTTTCTAGACGAGAGACAGTACAGTCTAGTTTCGGGCGGCACGTTTGACGGAAACATTCGAGACTTTCGTTCACGCTGATATAAATGTTGCGCCTGCCAGGAATTGGAGTTATTCTAAATTGTAACTTGATAGCGATTCCTACGTCGATAACAAAGTTTATTATTAAATAGTGGAAAATGAAAGCAGTGAAGAAATCTAAAACGGATCATTTTTAATAAGGATTGGGAGGAAGAATTTTTCTTTTCTATAGTGAAGGGATAAGTGCATTTTTGTTATTTGTCGTGCGTCAGTTGCAATACCTAAGCGTTGGTACTTAGAGAGGCATCATAAAACGATTCATAAAAACTATGAAAAGGATTTTCCGCCACAAGAGTGAATTAAGATAACGAAAAGTAAGTGATTTGATATCTTGTTTGAAAAAATAACAATCTATGTTCACAAGACCAGCCAAACAATCAAAAGCTGCTAACGATCGCGTCATTTAAAATATCTCATATTTTGGCGAAACACAAGAAACCATTTGAAGATGGATCGTGGTGGTGAAGAGAAGCATTTATTGAAGCGAGGTGAGACTTTATTGGGAGATTTTAAAAAAATAAAAACAGAAATCATGTCTGCTATTAGAGAACTTCAGTTATCTCGTCCGACTGTCACAAGGCGTATTGAAGTCATGAGTCAAGACATCGCAGATAAACTTAAAACATGATATCATGGAATTGTACATACTTTTCTTTACAATTCGACGAATCCATCGATATGACAGACACTGCCCAGCTGTGTATTTTTTATTCGGATGGTATTCAATGGACATGTTGGCTAAGGAAGAATTTTTGACAAATCATTCCTCTGAAGGGGAAGACCCGTGGCGAAGATATATATGACGTTTCTTAAATTTTGTAAAAACTACGAGCTAAGAAAAAATAAATTAATGTGCATTACAACCGATTGGAGCACCAGCAATGACTGGAAACAAAAACGGTTTTGTGGCATTGTGTCGAGCTAAGAAGAATTCCCTTCATTTTTTTTTCATTCCATTGCATTATACATCAACACTAGTTTTGTGTTCAAAAGTTTTAAAACACGGAGGAAATTTATGGGCATTGCAACAAAAATTGTGAATTCCATCCGTGCACGTAGCTTGCAACGGAGGCTCTTTCAAGTTGCAGTTGGAAGATAGGGAGTCAGCTGAACACACTGATTTAGTTCTTCACACGGACGTCAGGTGGTTTGAGTCGCGGAAAATTCATAGAAAGGTTTCAAGAATTATTGCCCGAAATAACAGCTTTTCTAGACGAAAGAGGTGATGACACTCAGATTTTGAAAAACGAAAAATGGCCCTAAATGATTTGGCATTTTTGACTGACATCACAATGCACTTAAACACCGTTAAACTTGGAGCTTCAAGGTAAAGGAAAAACTATTATTGAGATGATTAGTGCAGTAAACGCATTCAAAAGTAAATTGCAACTTATGTTAGATCAACTGAAAAGAAAGGATCTGAAACATTTTCCGTCTTTGAAAGCAAGGATTCCTCAGTTTGAATTATAATACGTATGAGGCTGAATTATCAAATATTTTGGGACAAATCGAAAGTGCGTTTTTTATGATTGCAGTAAAATTGAAAATTATAGCATCATTTATGAGCTATCCTTTTTTCATGGTAAAAACATTGATGGAATTAGCTACTGAAATAGCAAAGTCAGTTTAATATGAAACTCATGTTCTGTTGAAAATGAGTTGGTGCAGATTATATCAGATATACATCTCAAAGCTACAGTATCTGATACAAATTTCTGGCGTTTTATATCTGAAGATAAATATCCGAATGTAAGGCAAATCGCCCTTCAACTGACGGCATTTTTTGGGTCAACTTACTTGTGCGAGTCTGCATTTTCTGAAATGAGATAATTAAGTCAAAATATCGCAATCCACTAACTGACATCTGTTCATATGACTGATCATATGACATCATGCTTTGCGATTAGCACTCAGTGGTTACTTACCATCTTATGAAAAGTATGCTGAGGACATGCAGTGCCACGCTTCAACATCCAAAGCCACTCCTTAGTTAAGTTTAACACCATATGTAACTCTTTTGTTTTGTAACAACAAATAAACTCGCAATTTGAATAAATATGAGTTTTTTTATTGATATTGTAGAGAAGAACCTAACTAAACCTAACCCAAACCTTGACTAAAATAATGTACCTATATTGTGCAGAAAGCTAATATCTATATATGCTTACGGTACGCCCTACCTAGGTAGGTAGGGTGTATCGTGTATGTACGACAAACCCTGCATCACACACACTTGCAGTATCTCAGAGTCGATCGTAAGTAGTCTAAAATATTGAGGTAGATCGCCAGCAGTTTAAGTTTGAGCACCCCTGATCTACACTAAGAAAAGTTCATGCGATAGTTAAGTTCACGTGGTTGTGAATCCTTGGTACGAGTCACACTCCAGGTGCTGATATTAAATTTAATAAAAATCCACTGAAACTTACCTCAATTTTCCAAAGTATCTATTACGAAGTATCTTGATGTCTCCCAGGCCTCTTTCTTTCCACTCGCCTCCAATAAATCGGAAGAGTTTGGCCCTATGAGAGTACAAAACGTCCTCGTCTTCTTCGCCGGTTTTCACTTGAACTTTATCCGGTAAAGGAACTACAGGCTTGAAGTAAATGTTATCTTCTTCTTCTTCTACGTAACTACCTATAATATAAAGTTTATATCTTTATAAAGATCAATATTTCAACTGTGATATGTCAAAAATGTATTGTTCAGACGTTTCCTCTAAAAAAACGTAAATTTTGGTAATAGCGGCAACAGTGTGCAAAACAGTTGTCCCTCAGAATGAAAAACAACGAACTCTATTCGTTTTTCTGTAAATATAAACTATGTACTTACCATCTGCATCTGACTCTGCATCGTGTCCTTGACTTATCCTCCTTGATGGTCTCTGCTTGAACTCGAATTCCTGCTTTGTCGGCGAAATGAACGAAAAACTATTTTTGTTCGTCGTTGCCGAAGTAGATTTATCGGCGCCGGCAGCTGGGGCGGCATCTTTACCGAACGTTACAGGTGTCGGTGTGGTTTTAGTAATACCGAAAGTCCACTTCTGTTCGGGCGTGTTCGCCGTACTTGCAGCTAGGTTTATATCAGGAATGATGGAGGGCTTGTTTTGGCCGCTTAAATTGATCGGCGTGGTATTGGGAATGCCGAAGACGAATTTCTGTTCAGGGACGGCTGGTTTGACGTCTGCAACATAACAGGTTCTTGATGAACGAGACTCAAGCTCAATTTTTTAGGTTTTTAGTGAATTTTTTAAACAAAAAAATCAAAATTGTTAATTCGCTATCTCCTCCCCCTTGCAATGATGTATCATATGTCATATGATCCGACTTATATCTTATCCTTAAATCCTAAAATATCGCAAAAGAATTTTCTGACTAATACCCTGTACTTATATCAATATACAGAGTGGCCCAAAAGTCTGGAAACGGCTAATTATCTCGTGAATTGCTAATCATAATTGTACAAAATTTGAGGTACACCTATTTTGGGATACGGAGATTCCATATTTGATATTTACAATGTTGCCAGATTTGCCGTTTTTCTTATATTATTAGTAACTTTGGTTTTTTCAAATACATCACCCTGTATATTCAGTCAAAATTGGAATCTCCTATTCAATACGAGTTCAACCATATGTAACACTTATGATTTTATCTGATCTGGAAGGTCATAAATACATAAAACCGAAGTCTGGCAACGCCTAAATTGTTTCAATAAATTTTTTAATACTAACTATTTTCAAATACATTAAAACTTAACAATTGACGTTTAGAACATTTTTTAACATAGTAGTTACGTTATTAAGTGTTCAAAATGTGCTCAATTTGTGAGTTGACAGTACCCGTAATCGATGGTAGAAGGCGTTTACCACATTTCTCCATGATTGTCTAGAAATTATTCGAGATTCATTGATAATTCGTTGCCTTAGCTCTGCAAGACTTGCTGGTTAAGTTTTGTAAACTGAATTTTTCAAGTATCCCTAATAAAAATAATCTTTAGGATTGAAATCGGTGTGAACGTGGAGGCCATTCAATTCTACCTTGTCTACCAATTTATCGTCCAGGAAATATCTCATCTAAATATCGCCGAACATTTACACCAACTATCTGACGTTAAATTTCTTTCGACAAAAAAATGACCCAATTGAATAAGTAACTACTATATCTGACCATACATTTAATTTTTGTGGTCTTTGAGTATGGTTTTCACGCATTCAGTCTTCAGTGTGAATTTACGTCACACCAGTACCTTAAATTGTCTCGATTTACACTTCCACACAGTTTAAAAGTTGCTTCATCGGAAAAACATATTCTGTTAACAAATTTTAATAATTTTCAATTTTATCCATCATTACCTCAGTAAACTCTAATCTACGACCAAAGTCATCTTCACTTAATTCTTGCAATAAGTTAATTTTGTATGATTTAAATTTATTTTTACGTAATAAACGTAAGACTGAAGAATGACCTACATCATGTACTTGTGCAACCCTGCCTGGGGATATATGTGCATCTTCAACAAAACTTTGCTTATATCTGAAGTTTTGTTGTCATTGATAACTCGTTTCGGTCAACCTGATCGGTATCTATCTTTTACTTCTCCAGATTCCTTAAATCGCCTTACAGTTTTTTGTACCGTTGTCTTATAAATAGGAGAACGGTTTAGAGAACGGCATTTTAGAGAAGCAATTTAAATTGCAGAACTTTTTGAACCACAACTACTGTCAATTTTAGTTCATAATTTAAATGGTGAACAAATGTCAAAATCACAGCATTCTCCATTTAAATATTTAAATTTATTAAAATCTACATATTTTGCACTGTTTTATGTATTTAAGATCTTTCAGACTACATAAAATCAAGTGAACATATGGTTGAACTCGTATTGAATAGCTGAACTCGTGTGAAATTCACACTGAATGCGTGAAAACCATACTCAAAGACCACAAAAATTAAATGTATGATCAGTTATAGTAGGTACTTATTTAATTGGGCCATTTTTTATCGAAAGAAATTTAAAGTCAGATAGTTGGTGTAAATGTTCGGCGTTATTTAGATGAGATATTTCCCGGACGATAAATTGGTAGACAAGGTAGAATTGAATGGCCTCCACGTTCACCCGATCTCAATCCTAAAGATTATTTTTATTAGAGATGCTTGAAAAATTCAGTTTACAAAACTTAACCAGCAAGTATTGCATAGCTAAGGCAATGAATTATCGATGAATCTCGAATAATTTCTAGACAATCTAGAGAAATGTGGTAGACGCATTCTACCATCGATTAGAGTGCTGTCAACTCACAAATGGAGCACATTTTGAACACTTAATAACGTAACTATTATGTTAAGAAATATTCTAAACTATTAATTGTTACGTTTTAATGTGTTTGAAAATAGTTAGTATAAAAAATGTATTGAAATAATTTAGGCGTTGCCAGACTTCTGTTTTATGTATTTAAGACCTTCCAGACTACATAAAATCATAAGTGTTACATATGGTTGAACTTGAATTTAATAGGAGATTCCAATAATGACTGAATATACAGGGTGATGCATTTGAAAAACCAAAGTTACTAGTAATATAAGAGAAACTGAAAATCTGGCAACATTGCAAATACCAAATATGGAATCTCCGCATTCCAAAATAGGCGTATCTTAAATTTTGTATAATTATGTCTAGTAATTTACGGGATATTTAGCCGTTTCCAGACTTTTGGGCCACTCTGTATTTACCTGCATACTTGTTGTACATTGATTTCTTTTGAATGATTTAAATCTAATGGCCCCCAAAATGGAATGCACGACTCACCATAATCGCGAAGTGGCTTACTAGTAGAAAGAAAGCCACTTTATTCCATTTTGTGGGCTAATGCATTCGATTTTTTAAATCATTTAAAAAAAGGCAACACGGGTAAGGCCTATTTCGTCATGTTATATCCCATAAAAAATCGCTAAGGTTCATTCTGGTCATTTTTGGCTCTTTTATTGGAGGAGACGCAATATCTTGTCGGATTGTTGCATCATTGGAAGGGAAAGGGGATAGCGAATAGAAAAGGCTAGAACAAATCTCAACAAAATGAGAAGAACTTTGAAAAATAAGGCTATTATCGAGCACAAGTTAATTAAATCTAGCCCAAGTACTTTTGCTTAAAATAGCATCTTCAGGGGCATCTGAAATAAGCCAAGAAAACGTTTTTTAGATGAAGGAAATTAGTTAACTTCGATAAAAAACTCGGATGAAAAAAAGTTTTTGAGATTAACGTTTTAGACTTACTTCGTCAAATGTAAACTATCCGGCAAGCGTAGAATGTGGAAACATTAATAATGACATAAAATTGTACAAAACACTACACTAAAACGAGGATAAACAGTTTAAAATTACTTAAAAGATTCTACGCTACATTATTTGTCAGTATCTGGAGGGATAATGATCTAAGCGGAAATGATACGGTGACATGTGACATATGACAATTTTGATAGGCAGTCAAAGTTATAGATCTGTGATCAGCACATATTAAAACTCTGTATAAGTTGTCATTGGCCAAAGGTCCAACTAGAACTACTACTGAAAAAATCAGCTGATGAAGTATGACATATAGAATATTTTGATTTAAACTAGATTGCATAATCCAGATCTCACACTCACACCCGTCTGTAATAATAAGGTTGTAGGTTTGAGGCTAAATGAAGTGTACATAAAGTGTGAATGAAAGAAATAGACCAAACGATCTATTGGACAGTGGGTAGTTGACTACAATAAAATGGTCCACCAGGCACTGTCAATACTGCAAAATGAGAAGAAAATTGACTATGAAATTGAAATATTAAAATTAAATCAGAATTGAAAGCAGTGTGTAAATGGGTATAGTTCAGCTAAACCTCAAGCCAATGGGGGAACTGTAAACTAATATGTAATAGCATTACTAAAGACCAACTGACCAACAGGTGTTGAAATATAAAACTGTGGAATTAGTATATGTAGATTATGCAGAGGTATGAAGAGTGAAATCAACTCCAACTGTGGATCAATTGAATCTGAGCAAGCTAGTTGTGTAAATTGTTAAATACAATAGTAATGCTGAACAAAGCCTGAAATTGGTAGATTCTTAATGTATAAACTCAGTGCAGGAAGTCTAGACAGCCGAGCTGGGTCCACTACGGGGTGAAGCTGTAATAAAGTTTTTAAAAATAGGTTTAAATTTAGTACAGTTTAAATTAATTTGAGTGTTAAGATAATGAGAGTTTCCATTGGTGTCAAAAATTTTTAGTTCCTTAAAGAAATTGTTGGAGGCTGCTAAAATCGAGTGTAATAATAAAAATATCTCATCGATACTCACCTGATTTAATGTTCTGCTTCAATCCACCTTCTCTAGGAGTCTCGCACGCTACACATTTAGAGTCTTTTCCTTCGTTTTTGATCATACAAGTTTTGCACTCCCAAGATCCAGGTTTAGGTTTGAACTTGTCGCCGAATCCCATTATCGGTGTCGTTTTTGTGGCAGGTTGAGTGTTTGTGAGGAAGTTAAACGTGACGGTCTTCTTCTCTTCGATGTTCTGACCTGTTGGAGGATTCTTGGACGTGTTACAAGCTACGCAAGCGGAGGCACTGGCGTCATTTCGAACCATACAAGTGTTGCATTCCCAGGAACCGGCTTTTGCCTTGAATTTGTCGCCGAAACCGGCGGGTTCGACTTTGGAAGCAGCCGAAGTGTTCGTAGAATCCACAGTTTCTTTTACAGAAATGTCACCGCTTTCGTTAAGACTGCTCTGTTCCTTTTGTATGGTTTCCAAAAATTTACTAGCGATATCCGCAGTTTTAAATCGTATAGTAAACATTTCGGTTTGCAGCACACCCTCGGAGAAGTCTTGGGCTTGCCAAATGATCGCTTTGGGATTTTTCGAGTTCATTTTGAAGATCATATCTTTGAGGACTCTGTGATTGCAGCAAACTTTATGGACTTGATCCCTTCTCATCAGAAGCCGAACGGATTCGTCTTTCAATATTTTCATCACACCGACGCCTCTTTCCTTCCATTCTTTGGTTTCTCCAGATGTGTCCATCCTGAACAATTTCGCTCTTTCTTCGAATAGAATTTCGCAATTTTCTTCACCGGTTTTGATCTCGACGAGTTCCGGTAGAGGTATTAGAGGTTTGAATTCGGCAGTCGGTACAAATTCTTCCACTGGAGATGATCTGTCGTCTTTTTCCTTTTCTTGCGTAATAACTAAGGGAGTAAACTTGATGGGCTCAGCTTTGGCTTCAGATTTTCCGAAGACGAACGTCGAGAAAGGTGTAATGGGTTTGCTCGCTTCTTTAACTGGTTCTGCAACTGGTGCCGACGTCTTAATATCCTTAGGCAAAAACGTTGGAGTGCCAGTAAAAACAAAACCTCCCAAAGACGTAGTACTTGGTGTACTTTTTGGAGTTTCTTTCTTGGTAAGATCGACAGTTTCTATCTTTGTAGATATCGAAGACTTTTTGGCCGATTCGAAAACTTCGGAAAACTTTTTGGCATCTTCGACAAGTTTAAATTTAACCAAGAAGGTTTCCCTTGTGATCTCTCCGTCAGAAAAATCTTGAGCTGCCCACATGAAGGATCTGTTATTGGTTGGGATCTCCTTGAGGACCAAATCGGCGGTTATGTAGTGATTGGCGCAGATTTTATGTACTTGTTCTCTTCTCATGAGAACTCTGTATTTATTTGTCAGTGGATTTTTCATGATTTTTATGTTGCCAATGCCTCTTTGTTTCCATTCCTTTAAGTCACCGCTAACAGAATGCCGGAACAGCTCGGCCCGTGCGCAGAAGAGTTCGGTTTCGCCTTCCTCGCCAGTTTTTACAGACACCTCATCGGGTAGCGGAATGAGAGGCTTAAAATTCACGTTCGGTTCATAATCTTCAGTCGATGTCGCCGAAACGTTACTTGCGTTACTTTCGTTCAACGTTTTGTTCAGTCCAGAAATGCTCAGTTTCGGTGTTAAACCGAAAGAAACGGGTTCCAATTCAGCTGTGTTAGCTGTAGCGTCGGGTTTGAGGAAGTTACCTTTGATATGTTGTGGAGGAATTGTCACTGACAGAACTGGCTGGTTAGTTAGAGTGTTCTGTGCAGGTAGCGGATCTGAAGTTGTTATAACGACGTTCACAGGCGGGGCTTTTCCAAAGATCGACGTCGACGGCGTGATTTTAGGTGCGTGCGTGGTAGTTCCGCTTAAATCTTTAGGTAATTCTCTCATAAACGGAGGCGGTGCAGTTTGCGTCAATATTTGACCACTTAGAGCTTCTAATCCTAAATTTTGGCTTAAAGCAGGCTGACCGGTGAGCAGATGAGACGCTACAGATGTTGAGATACTCGTCGCTTGTTGGTCTTGCAAAAATGGAAGGGTTCCTGCAAGTATAAGACGACAACTATGGAATAAAAATAAAAAATTACAATAAAAAAATTATTTTATAGGGTAATTTCACGTCAACTATGCAAGGTTGGTCAAAAGACCCCTCTCGATTTGTATTAAATTTTAGAGGCGTATTTATATATTATAAAATGTGATGATTTACCAAATTCCGCATTCTAAATCCAAAATAGCGGTGTATATGGGTAATTTATTAAAAAAAAAAAAAAAGGTAAGTTACTAGCTGTAGCAACTCTCTGGACACTGGAACTCACTTCAACCATGGATGTATGTTACCTGAAGTCAAATTTCATTTAATATTTAACATCGCATATTCATAACACATTATGTACAATATTTTACAACTACATGTAATTTAAAGGGTTTTTACCTTTAAGGCCACCAAAATATCAGGGTAAAAACCCTTTAAAATACATGCAGTTGCAAAAGATTGTACATGATGTTGTTATAAATATGTGATGTTTAATATTAAATTATTTAATATTAAAAAAAAAAGGAGCGAAAGATTTATGTAGCAACTATCGCACAATTGCTCTAATTGCGCATTGCAGTAAGATACTCTTACACATAATTCTCGAGAGGATAAAGCCCTTTTTACTACCTAACATTGCGGAGGAACAAGCAGGTTTCGTCCCAGGACGTGGTACTAGAGAACAAATTTTAAACGTACGGCAGATTGTAGAAAAATCCATAGAATTCAACATCACATTCAACATATTTGTGCTTCATAGATTATAGTAAAGCTTTCGATTTGGTCAACTGAAGTAAAATGTGGCAGGTTTTGTCTGAAATGGGAGTCCCTAATCATCTGATACTGCTAATTAAAAGCCTGTACAATAACAATTATGCCAGAGTTAGAATAAATGGGGAACTAACTGACAGTTTCAGGGTCACAAAGGGCGTGAGACAAGGCTGCATACTAAGCCCAATTTTATTTAACATCTATGGTGAATGGATAATGCGGAAAGCTACTGAGGACTGGAACGGTGGCATCACCATTGGCGGGAAGAAGATTTGCAACTTGAGATATGCAGATGATACTACTATCCTCGCTAGTTCTGAAACTGAATTGATTCACCTGCTACAACGGATAGAAGACGTAAGCTTAACGATGGGCCTTAAAATAAACAGGGATAAAACGAGAATCATGATAATTGACAGAGCTAACAACAATCAAAATCACCTGGTTAGGATAAACAATATCGCTGTTGTAGATAAATTTGTGTATCTGGGCTCATTAATAACCAACAAAGGAGGCTGTACTGAAGAAATAAAGCGGCGGTCAGCAATCGCAAAAAGCGCTATGGCAAAATTAACAAAAATTTGGAAAAGCCATGAAATAACTACCGATACAAAAATGAGACTAGTAAGAAGTCTAGTTTTTCCAGTTTTTACTTATGCATCGGAATGCTGGACCCTTACTGAGAAAGACAAAAAGAACATAGATGTATTTGAGATGTACTGCTGGAGACGAATGCTGAGAATACCATGGGTGGCCCGAAGAACAAATGAATCCATACTGGTCCAGCTAAACATAAAGAAAAGACTAAGAACACAACCAGATAATAAGCTATTTTGGACATGTGCTTCGAAGAAATGGTCTTGAAAAACTTACCATCCAGGGAAAAGTAGAAGGCAAAAGAAGTAGAGATAGATCTCCTACACGATACACGGACCATATTGTTGCTACCATTGGCGCTCCATTGTCAGAATGTGCTAGATTGGCAGAAGATAGAAAAACGTGGAGGAACATTGGAAAAATTACCTAACAGCTTCATGATATCACGATATCACCTGCATCAGGTTAACGACTAAGAAGAAGAAGAAGAATATTAAATTAAATTTGACTTCAGGTAACATACACCCATGGTTTGAGTGAGTTCCAGTGTCCAGAGAGTAAACCTCTTCAAACGGACTACAGCTGGTAACTGATTGACAAGATACCTATGAACGGTGTCGAAAACAAAATGTCAATGTAACATGAAACTATATTAGTTATACATAGTATTACTATAGCCAAAAGATTCAAAAACTTTGATGATGTTAAAAAATAATAACAGCAATCCAGGTGTTAGGATTTAAAAACTTTTTATTTATTTAATTTTGGATATAAAAGATGTGAAATTACCGATGGTGTTAAAGGTCACATTTAAGAGAATAACGTGTGCATTAGGCAACCTATGTTACTCTTTGTCGTATGGAGTGTGGTCTAAAAAGTGTAATTTGTGTTAGATTAGCTTAGATATATGAAATTGTCCTTTTATGTTTATCACATCTAGGACAAGGTAAAATTGAATAGTATATATTTGAAGCTAATATAAGACCTCATATTGTTAAGACATTGTTTAAGACTGCTCGTATGGTGAAAAAGTTAATAAAAAGTAAGTCTAATAAATTGAAAAAGGGTTAGAAATCTTCCGGCTGAAGAAATTAAAGTTATAAACTATGGGATTAAATTTAAAATTGAAAAGGCTGAGCTCCTCAGAGACTTGATAAGAATAAAAGTAAAGGAAATGACTGAAGAAGAAGGGGAGGGTTAAAGGAGAGAAAGAGTTAATCAACAATTAAGATAAATAGAGGTCCTTCATGCTGAAAGCATCTAGCACCCTGAACAAAATCTATTTTAGTTGTATTAAATTCGGTTTATAAAAACCTGAAATTTGATGTGTGAGTGTGCTACTAAGTTGTTGACCAAGAGAAGGGGAGCAATGGTTGATTAGGATCTTTTGAAATGGGGAAATAATGAATTCTGATAAATTGTTAGATGTTTAAATGGTTACTAAGTTTACTAATGAGTACATGTTTGATATATGAATTGACCAAGAAATAATGAAAGAAAGAAGAATGGACAGGAATGTGATGTAGACGTGAAGAGTGGAGAAAATGATGAAATAGTGTAGTATGATGGATGTGGATGGTTCTGAAGTTAACAATAGGGTCGGAAAATTTAGCAGGGGGTGTGACGATAGTGTAAAGAGAATGGTTGTTTAACCCTCCGTTACTCGCGCGGGGTGTTGTGAACACCCTATGCTTATATAACTGTTAATATTTTTTACAAAATAATATCATCGTCGCCGTGCGCCTGTGTAGCTGCATATTTTCGTCGTCTCTACCACCTGGAAGAATCTGATCAGTGTACTGTTAGTCGTTGTACCATAAGCAAGTGCAATGGGGTGCTGCAAACACACCCGCGAGTAGTTAAGTTACATTTTGTTTATCGATATTTATTTTTGTCGGTAAGTATATTTATTCTTCTTACACATATATGGTAGTCTGAACATGTACTTTGTCCATATAATATTTCCAATATTATTTTAGGAAAAATGGGCGAATATGAGGCCGGACAAGCGCGATTACTCAAACTTTTTGATAAATGTACGAGCGATGATGAAATACCATCAGAAGAAGAATATCCTTCAGATGAAGAATTGACTCAATTACGAAGTGATTCTGAACCAGATAGTGAGCATGAAGTTATGAATGAATCTTCTAGTGACGAGGACTTGACAAGTGATGACGAACAAGAAGACGGAAATCGTTTTTATATTGTAAAAGACAAAATCACTAAATGGTCAAAGGAGAAGAGTCGTGAGCAGGTGAGAACTAGAAGTCATAATCTAATTTCCCATCGACCAGGAACAATAAATATTGCCAGAAACTGTAAGTTGTTATTGAATGTTTTAATTTGTTTATAACTGAAGACATAATCAAAGAAGTTACAGAAAGTACCAACATATTTATTGGTAAAACTTTCGGCCAATTACAAACGTAAGAGGGACTGCAAAGAAACCAATGAGACATAAATTCGTGCTTTAGTTGGATTACTAATATTATCTGGCATTTGTAAATCCGGTCATAGGAATATCAAAGATTTGTGGGATATTTCAAGGCTTGGAATTCAAACGTTTAGAAAACTATGAGTTACAACCGTTTTTTACTTTCTCATAAAATGTCTAAGGTTTGAGAATATAAATTACCCGCGAAGAAAGAATATTGCTGGACAAGTTTGCTCCCATTAGAAGTAATTTATAATCAGTTCAATAATAATTGTCTCGCAAATTAGTCATCAACATTCAACAACTTTTAAATTTTAGGGGTAGATGCTCTTTTTCGCAAGTATCTACCAAACAAGCCGCACGATATGTCTTAAATTTTTCGCTATATGTGATTCCAAGACATTTATACTTTACAATTTGAACCTTATATTGGAAAGCAGCCAGATGGTCCTTTCCAAGTTAGCTATAAGCCCATTCATATTGTGCAGCGTTTGTGTCGTACACTCTTCGGTTCAGGAAGAAACATCACAAGGGACAACTGTTGTATCGTTAGTGGATACAATCAGAAAAAACAAAAAGAGATACCACCATGCTTTTTCACTAATAAGTTTCCTGGGCAATCTCTATTCGGATTCCATCAAAAAATACCAATGACTCTCGTTTCATATTGTCCAAAGCAAAATAAAAATATAATTTTATTATCAACTATGCACATAAATGACAATACTGTAGATGAAGTTTCTCCAAATGTGAATAAGCCTGAGATAATATTATTTTAATAATAAAACCAAGAGTGGGGTTGATAGTGTAGACCAAAAAATGCCAGACATATAATGTGTCAAGAACTTGTCGTCGTTGGCCCTTGAGGATATTTTATCATTTGTTAAATACAGCTACAATTAATTTCCAGATCGCAGTTTCTAGAAGAGATTGGATTTACTCTGGTATAACCACAGATGGAAGCTAGGTCACAAATACAATCTATTCCAAACTTTTTAAAAAGAGTGGTTGCAAAAATTGCAATAAAAATATGTGCCTTAGTCATATGAACACAATATGTGATGCATGCTACCGAGGCCAGTAAATTTATTCTAAGTTTGTTTGTTCTTCTTTATATATAATAAAAAATTTTTGCTTTCATCTTTTTACTTTATTTATTTATTTATTTTAATTTCTGCTCAGTTGTGTGTGCAATTTTTATTCCTAAAATCTATGTTTATAAAATTCAGCGACTACACATGTAGACTGCAATATTTGCTGAAATAAATAGTTTTTATTTCGTGACAAACTTTTAACATTATATACCTGAAATATAAAAAAAGTTTGGATTTTATTACTTTAAACAAAAAGTAGGATAAAATAATGGGGTGCTGCAGACACCCCGCGAGTTGACACGTTCTTGAAATAGGCGCGAGTAACGGAGGGTTAAATAAACACAATTATTGTATAGGATTACAGGTGTTGACGTTTGTATAGGAATCTCGGGCAAATTTGAGAAGTGTGGACTATGAGAAGAGTTGTCGATGTAAGGGTTGAAAGTCACGGTTGAAAGATACATGGCGATTAACGCAGTTGGGGCTTCTGCCCTGTAACGTTTGTAATAACAAAACACAGACGAACTATTGCAAATAAAAAAATTTACTATTATTAAACAATGGTTACCTGGCTGTAAGTTTAGTCCACCATAGGCATAAGGCAGTCCCGGGTAGAGACCAGGATATAGTACAGGAGGACCGTAGGCAGCTGCCATGGGGTTTGGATTCGGAATTCTGCCAGCTGGGAAGTTCTGGTAAGCTCCTGGAACGGCAGTCGGGAACGTACTCGCCGTTGAACCAATGTTGTAGTCCACGCTATATTCTGCATCAAGTATATACAAATCTTCGTCGCTAAGTTGATTTTTGGTATCACTTTTCTTGAAGTCTACCAATTCCTTTTTCATTTCCTAAAAAATATTGACACATAAAACCAGAAAAATTAAAAAACGATTGATATATACCTGTATAACGTCCGTGACGTTTTGGAAATCATCTATGGAGTTCTTAATATCATTAACTGACTTCGTAACATCTTTCAACGTCTCCACTTCCTTTTTGATCGATCGCAGTTCATCGACAACTGAATTCAGCTTGTCCACTAGACTCTTTTGCACCTCTACGATATTTCTATTTTGCTCAGCGACGAGCGAAAAGATCGAATCTTTCATAGACATCAACTCTCGAATCTGGGCGTCCATTCTTTCGGGACTAGGTCTGGCTTCTTGGCGCAACATGCTATGTTTCAACGGAGTAGACTGGTTTAGCGACCCGAGTTTGGGCGTGTAAGCACTGTGGCTGACGTGCGTTAAGCTCGACAGGTATTGCTCACTCGTGCTCACTTCGAGAGAACGGTTTATGTCTGAAAATAGATCATGGACATTGTTGGATTCCATATCTAACAAAAGTCTGTCTACTTGTTCTAATTCGGTGCCGATTTTGGCGTTTATGGGATGTTTAGGGTCGACTGTAGAGCCCCTCAAACGATCTAACGTGAGATACAAACAATCTCTTGCTTTGGTTAGGAACACAGTAACTTCTCGTTTCTCTTCACTACCGATACTTTCAATTTTGTTACCGTTAATTTTTTTATCTGCGATTTGTCTGTAAATTTCAAACTGGTAAAAACTCGCGTATGGATCTTTAAGCTGTTCAAATATAGCCAGTGCTTGATCATGGTCTTTTTTCTTCATTAATTGTGTACCTATGAACAATAGACCCTTTTCGATGAAAGTGCTCGCTTCAGATGCTGTCACTTCGTTTGATTTCAGCTGAAACAGTCTATTGTTGGCGTAGGCGATCTTTTGATCATTCTTTACTTTTTCTAAAAGGGGCAAAGCAGTCTTCCAGTACAATTCAGCTCGGGCAATGTTGAAGTCGATTTCAGATTGTTTGGTCAACTTCTTCGACCGTTCTTCGAATATATTTGCTAGTTGTACTAAAATTTTAATGTCCAAGCCATGATGTCCAACACATCTCACAACCTCGATACCTCTAATCAACAAAGCTCTTATATCTCCGAATTGTGAACAAGCTTCATTTGTGTACATTTTATATGCAGATTCAATGAAATTTGCTTGCGGAATTGTTCCGAAATTTGCTGTAATCGATGCTGGCAATGTGACGTAATAGGACAGTTTGTTGTCGTTCAAATTAGATCTCGCACATATTGTGGCACAGCAAATAAACGAAAAAATATCGAGAAGATTTATCGACTCAGCAGAACAATTTGTCAAATTTTTGGTGGAGTACTGCAATCCTTCGAATGTAACAATGTTCACATCCGCCATATTTCCATTGAGCATGATCCAGATGTAATGGTGCAAAGAATTTGGAAAAGACAGTTGGGAAATCTCATCAAATTTGTTCAAATCTCTCACATCTGGTAGTTTCAGTATTGGATCAACTGGTGGGACGTTATTTACAAAGAAGCTGGATGAGATTTTGAGATGTTGCTCTCTTTTAACAAAAAGTTTCTTGTACAACTGTTCTCGCCACATTCCTGAAGAATATTGTGCGGCTTTTTCAAGCACTATGGATTTTTTATCTTTTGCCATTGCTAAAAGTACATGCCCAGTTTGGGAGCATCTGTAGCATGAGTCTCTATACCACTTCTGTACCAGTTTCTTGTTTTGATCAGATGATTGTGAAAACCAGATACTTTGTAGGTCTATGGAACTTGAATGATAGGCAGTGAAGAGAATCGGCAACACGAGATTGGTTACTTCCTTAAAAGGTATTACATCTTTTTTCCCTTGCTTTAATAATAGTGTTGAGTAATGGAAATACAACTGCATTTGGTAGTGGCGCAAAAATATCGCTACCAAGTTCCGATCTGGGCAGCTAGAAATATTCTGAGATGCTTTATGTAACATCTGGTCCAGATTAAATGTAGCTGTAATGCAATCTACAGAACTACTGATGTTGTATCGATCATCTAAACTTAGAGCTACTAGTCGTTCCAAAACTGACACTGAGAGGAACCAAAAATCCCAGTTAATTTCTGAATCCAAAGATACATCTTTCTGGAACCTTAAAAGGACCTCAGCAAAATTTTCATACCAGTTTATATTGTTGTAAAAACTAGGAATGTCTTTTTCTTCTACAGCCGATGCATGCTTATAAGCTTCTTTAATCATGTTATTCTGAAGGAAGTGCTTAATCAATTTAATTCTAAGTTTAATATCAGTCGGTCTGATTTCTAGTTCTTTTAGTAGCAGTTGTGAAATTTCATATGGACTCTCTTTTGTTGTTATCAACCTTTCTTTTAAACTTCGTACAGCTGAATTGTTTGGATCAAATGATTGAGCTAGATCACAGAAATATCTCGCTCCTGATAAATCCAATTCTACGTTGTCACATGACATTAACTCACAGACTGAAATAGGAACATACAAACACTATTTATGTACAATTAATTAATAAAAAAATGCTTTTTTGCTTGTCATCGAGTGACCAAAACTTCACATAAGATTTAAATTTAACACTATTTGTGGTTTAGAGTGTCATCAACAAAAAAAAGAGAACATATAAGGTGGTCTAATAAGCTCCCAGTATCACCCAGACTGCCATATGCGCCAACTGCTAACAAAAATGAAGAAGAAATAGAAAACTTTTATAGCGAACTCTAAAAAACATTACATCTCACAGCATCTAGAGATATAACAGTGATCATGGGTGATTTCAATGCAAAAATTGGCGAAGGAAAATGCTACCCTAATGTAGGACCATAGGGCTTGGTGAACAAAATGACAAAGGAGATTGCCTAATAGAATTTTGCCAGGAGCAAATGGACAAATTAATTAATGTAGGCTTTCATGGCAGATTTGTTGAATGGATTAAAAAGCTCTACATCTGGGAGAAGTCAAAAAGTCAAGATAGGTTGTCATCTGTCTGACAGTTTCACAGTAATATCTGGAGATCCTCAAGGAGGCCATACTTCTCAACTTCTTTTTAATATCTTCGTTAACATAACTTCGTTTCCTAAATAGCAAATGTCTAATGTTGGCAGATGACTTGAAATGTTGGAACGGTATAGACAGTTTAAAAAATCAAGCCTTGCTACAAGATGAGACATACTACAAAATTGGTGCAATTAGAACAAACTCCACTTGAATGCAAAAAAATGTTTTATAAGTTTTCTCTTAAAGTCAATAGAATTTTAACAAGCTATACTACTAATAATTGGCCACTGAATTATGTTTCTTTATTCGGAATTTGGGTGTTATATTCGATGAGAAGCTTACTTTCTGTGACCACATAAACTCTATTCAATAAAGGCATCTAACCTTCTTGGTTTCGTTACTAGGAATTGCAAGTATTTGTCCCTAATTCAACAAGATTTGTGTATTGTTGCTTCTTCTTCTTCTTAAGGTGCCGTGCATTTCTGCGTAGGCGTCCACCGTACATCGTCTTGTCAGGTGAGATGTTAAATATTCTGGTTTAAATAATTCTGTTTTTATAGCAGCATTGCGAAGCATTTCATAGCTGTGGAATCCTGTCCATTGTCGAATATTGCGCAGCCATGACATTTTTTTACGTCCGAGACCTCTCCTACCCTCTATTTTCCCTTCGAGTATCAGTTGCTGAAAAGTGTATCGTTCTCCTCGTATAATGTGCCCCAAGTATGCAGTCTTCTTACTTTTTACATAATAAAAAAGTTCCCTATCCTGTAAGCCCGCTCTTCTGAGTACTTCCTCATTTCTGACCCTGTCCGTCCATGATATTCTGAGCAATTCGACGCAGGCACCACATTTCAAACACTTCAAGTTTGTTAATGGAACTGGCCTTTAACGTCCATGCTTCCATTCCGTACAGGAGAACAGGCCACACGTAACACTTAAGCATCTTGTATCGGAGGTTGAAGTCCAATTTGTGATCAGTCAGAAACTTACGAAGCCTCAAAAAAGCATTTCTGGCTTGTTCAACTCTGCTCTTTATTTCATTCTCGGGTCCCAACCCTCATTCAGCAAACATCCCAAGTATTTGAATTGCCTGACTGTTCGATTTCTTCTCCAGAGACATATATCTTTGCGTTGGGGTAATCATTTCTACTTATAATCATTGATTTTGTCTTCTTGATATTTATTTTCAAACCCCGAGCTTCACTTGCAAGAGTTAGATCATTTAAAAGGCATTGAAGATCTTCGATGTTATCTGCCACTATGGCTGTATCATCGGCATACCTGATGTTATTAATAAATATGCCGTTAACTTTAATACCCTTATTAGAGTCTTCCACTGCTTCTGCGAAGGCTTTTTCTACGTATAAATTAAACAGCATTGGGGACAGTATACAACCTTGCCTTACTCCTTTTTTAATGGAGAAATCTTCTGTTTCGTTGAAATTTTGAAGACGTACTGTTGCTGTCTGATTCCAATACAGATTGGCGATGATTCTTATATCCTTTGCATCCAATCCCAACTCTTGTAGGTATTTTATCATCAATTCATGTTTTACATTATCGAATGCTTTCTCGTAATCGATGAAACAGATAAAAACATCCTTTCTTTGATCTAAACAATTCTGTATCAATGTTTGCATACTAAAGATCGCTCTCTCTCGTGCCAAGTCCATTTTTGAAACCAAACTGACTCCATCCACTGACCTCTTCACATTTCTTAAACAATCTAGTGTGAAGTATTCTCAGGAAAAGTTTTAAAAAGTGACTCATTAGGCTTATTAGTCGGTGGTCCTTGCAGAAGTTCGCACGTGGTGTTTTTGGTAGGGCAATAAATGTAGATCGAAGCCAATCTTTTGGAATCTGGCCCGTATCGTAGATGTCGTTAAAGAGCTTGACAATAATGTCTAGGTTTTCTTCATTAAGTAACTTGATTGTTTCTGCGTACATATCAATCTGGTCCTGGGGTTTTGTTACTTTTTAATAGTTTGATAGCGTGTACAATTTCAGCTTTCAAAATACTTGGGCCATACAAGTGGTCTCCCAGTTGTGGTGGTTTTTGTGTTCTGTCATCATTGAACAAATTGGCTGTGTTACATTTTCCAAGTATTAAGTATATCGCTAGGGTCCGTTATTAATTCATTTTGGTCATTATGTATACCAGTGACTTGTTTTTTCTTGAAGACACCAGCAATTTCTTGAAGACACCAGTATTGTTGCTTAGTTAGAACTATTTTGGAGTACTGTTCAGTTATTTGGTCACCTTATTTTACAACAATTACCTTTACCCTCACTCAAGAAACTGTAGTGATATGTCAAGAGCTATATTTTATATATAAGATCATACATGGATTTATTAATCTTCCAAATCTGTTAAGCCAGATTAACTTTAATGTTCTCCATGAAGCTCTATGGTACCCACCCAATCTTTTCAATATCCCTTTCCACAGAACAACCAATGATAGATAGATAAATGGGGCTATTAAATGTGAGATATGTAAGACTATTAGTCTCATTTTTTTAAATTTTCTAAACTTGTTAATATTGATTTTATATTATTGAACTGATTTGAAATGAATGAGACACCAATTCACCTAGAGATCTAAAACCTAATAGCAGTCTAAGCAGTGGGCATCAGCAAGTTATTTGGATTCAAATATGTGGAATATGACACCATCAACAAGAAATGTCATTGCATCTGTGTTTTGAGATGCTAAGGGAATTTTACTACTTGACTATCTTGAAAAATGTGAAACCAGAACAGGAGAGAACTACTATTAACTTATAATGAAACTGGATATATGCCTTTCGCCCAAACAGACAATATTTTAGAGAAAATCAGCTCTGATCATTGTTTTTCAGAAAGAAATAATTCCAAATCATGATCTGTAAGCTTGAAAAACTTTTTAGATCACCCTTTAGTGTGCAATCTGTGAAAATTATCCTTTAACAATCTTTATTCGACCAAAATTATTGTTTTGCAGTTTTGGCTACTCCATCAAAACAAATCTGCTGCTTTTGCATTAAAATATCCCACTTACCTTTTACTACTAGATTATTTTGTTTTGGATCAATCTGCAGACTATGTTTGAATGCATCTAAGGCTGCATCCAATTTCCCTAACTTCTCTAGAGATTTTCCTAATAATTGATATCCCTCTGCAGATTTTGGTTTGACAGTTAGGTAAGAAGATACATATCTGTAAGCTTGGTCATAATCGCCAACATTAAAGTACAGTTTGGCGAATGAGAAACATCGTAAGTTTCTCTGAAAAAGAAAAAAAATTAAAGTATTGTACGTTTCACCCATTTTATGATTTCGATTAGTTTGAATATCTGTGTAAAGGTGTTGATAAGCCATATTGACACTATTATGGGTAATATCAAAATCAAATTAAATACTGCTGAATCATGTTTAGAATATCACTTAGAGACAAGATTAGAAACACTGAGATACGACATAGAAAGATCAGGGATATTGTGGGAGAAACTACAAAAAGGAAATGGAGCTGGGCATGTCATGTAGCCCGATATAATGACAACAGGTGGACACAGAGAATTCTAGAATGAAGACCAAGGATGACAACAAGAAGCATGGGAAGACCTCAAAAAAGATGGATAGATGACATAAGAGCAGTGGCAGGCAAACAGTGGATTAGATTGGCGCAAGATAAAGAAAGATGGAAGTAATTGGGAGAGACCTACATTCAGGAGTAGATGGAAAATGGTTTACAAGGAGAGAGATCACATGCGGTATTCCTCAATCTGACCAAGAAGAAAAGCATATGACCCAAGCATTACTGATATAAAATGTATTAAATACGTTCCAGTTGGGACCATAGAAATAAAAAACTGACCATAAAGGAGAATATTTACAACTCCCTATCAGACCGAAGACTATGCCAACAATTCTAGACTATTCACCTTTATTTCTATCAGCTAAAATAAAAATGGAGAAATGGTAACATTTACAAGATCTAAAATTGACCCTACCGAAAGATTAGCAAGTGTTTTATATTACCATAAATAAAAGTATTTAATTTAATTAATGTTTAATTTCAAAGAATTATTTAATTTTATTTGGATAAAGGGGCATTTATGCTTACTGTTAATAAACAACAACTCCCAAGTTCACATTAAATAAAAATCAGTATCTCCTAGAGTAACATTACTTAAAGCAATACCTCCTATCTAGGAGGTAATGCTTTACAATATTAAAATTTTAAAATTATAAAGTCTTTTGTCTCTCCTAGGTGGAGGTAGATATTGCCAGGCCACAGACGATATATAACCTTTCTTGGCTTTTTATATATATTTTTTTTGGTTCATAATACTTTTTGTGGTAATTATTTAGTAGCCGAAACGCCTCAAAAATGCATAATTTTTTGTGGACTTCAGCAAAAAAGTGAAAAAAACCTAAAATTTTAATGTTTTCTTTACTGTAAAGTAGTAAAAGTGTCCAAATAATTAAAAAAATACAGAAAAAAACAACAAAAAAGTGAAATTACGTAAAAAATCGGCAATAAAGTTCTGAAAAATATTCCCCAAATGGCTTATCACTCCATGGGAAGTTAACCTCTTTTCATTTCTATTATTATCTAGTCTATTATTTCTTAATGTGTTAAAAATAAAGCTTGAAAAATATTGTATGCTACATATCTGTATAAATGAATTGATGTATAAAAACTCGCTTTGCAGTAAAGGTTCTCATTTGGCTTTTACTTACCTCAGTCTCGTTATTAATCTTTTTTAAGCAACTGTTGACATGGCGATCAACCTCTGATTTGGTTTTAAACATTTTGGAACATAAGAATAATGTTAACAATACTTTTTGCTATTAATAAAAACAATTAAAACAAACCACTACGACGAAAAGACAAACACAAGAAATTATGCTTGTATTGTAAAATTCGTTGAAGTTTGAAGTTGAAGCAGATAGATGAACGATGAACACCGGTTAGCGGGAGGTAAAGAAATATCGATAGTGAAATCGATTATTATCTATTCGATTCCATACTCCAACTATTGAAATTGTAGTAATAGTTGCATAAGTTTTCTTTATTCAATTTAATCTGAGATCCCAATAATTTATAAATTAAATGCTGTAAAAAACTTTAAATAAAAAATAGCAAAATGAAAGTTATATTAGTCATTCAGTGAATATATAAAGTGAAAATATATCTAATCATTACAAATCTAACAGAAAATTGTTTCATGATACTCATTTTTCATTAAAAAACTATTTTTACAAATACACTTCTTTGAATTATTTGACGACAATATGAAATATAATCGAAGCTTTTTCGCGACTTTCTATATTAATTATAGATTAATTGGCGACGCCAATGTTCAAATTTATGATACTTTTATCCACGAGACGTCATGATCATTGAGCTATATGAAAATAATTTTATTTTTCAATTTACCTCGAATAGCATTACATTTAAATGTATTCCCACTTAATACATGTCTATAAATAGATATTTTACGTTTAGGTTAAACAAAATAAACATGGGTCTTTACTGTTTTACAACCTTGATTTAGGCAACCAGTAATACGTACTTTTTCGTTTGGATAGCACATAAAAAGTGTGATTTGTTGCTTTTTTAGGCATATAACCAATTTTTATTCTTTAATTCAGTGAATGTATAAAGTGAAAATATACCTATCTAATCATTACAAATCTAACAGAAAATTGTTTCATGATACTCATTTTTCATTAAAAAACTATTTTTACAAATACATTTCTTTGAATTAATTGTCGAGAATATGAAAATAATCGAAGCTTTTTTCGCGACTTTCTAGATTAATTGGCGACGCCAATGTTCAAATTTATGATATTTTTATCTACGAGACGTCATGATCATTGGGATATATGAAAATAATTTTATTTTTCTTTTTACCTTGAATAGCACTACGTTTAAATGTATTCCCACTTAATACATGTCTATAAATAGATATTTTACGTTTATGTTAAACAAAATAAACATGGATTTTTACTGTTTACAACCTTGATTTAGGCAACCAGTAATACGTACTCTTTCATTTGGATAGCACATTAAAAGTGTGATTTGTTTCTTTTTTAGGCATATAAGCAATTTTTATTCTCTAATGTATGTAAGAAAAAACAATATAGATGTATTTAAAACATCGAAAGTTAATTTTCAATAGTAGATCCTTGGTAGAGAACAGAAGACCTGTTTAAAATCAACTTTAACCATATGTATCTCTTTGTGGTTGTGGGTGTGTATATTTGAATTCTTGGTGGTATATGATAAGTTTCGTTTCCAATATTTTCTTTAAATAGTAGTGACGTTAGGATGAGTCAATACGTCTATGATAAAATATTACACCACACCACTGACAATATGATGCTGGACCAGGATCTTTACCTATTTTTAATAAAAAAAAACGAAAAGTTAAAGTACAAGCGCACAGTTACCAGTTTAACTAAATGTCAGTGGCGCACCCAGAATTTTTCTGAGGGGGAGGAGTTTGAATTTTTTTATGCTACCTCCATTTTGAGTCTATAAAATTTGGGTTTTAGTTTAATTTAAAGTACTAGAGATAGCAGTGCCAAAGATTCAGGCATCTATTATCCTGCCTACCAACTAAAACCACTCAGACTGTCGCACATACCGTACTCAGAAAGTGGGGTGGCCACTATAAGGGTGCCTTCTCTTATCTAGATCTTATCTATTGTTCTGAAGCTATTTTCTTGTGGCATTTTAAAGTAATTACTATTTTAATGGGAATAAGCAACGATTGAAGGTTAAAATAAGTTTACTGACGTTTGACATTAATCCAACTTGTAAATACACGCTTCTCCTCCAAACCTCTCGATTCCATCGCTCTTCTAATTCCTTCATTCCATAAGCGTCGAGGTTTACCTCGTTTTCTTCTTCCAGGGGGCTTCCATTTGTGAAGTTTTTGGGGCCAACGTTCGTCAGGCATTCTCAATGTGTCCAAACCATTTCAAACCTCTTCTTTATATTCTGTCAATGACCGTGTCTGTAGCATTCATGTTATTTCTTATAGATTCGTTGGTCTTCCCTTCCTGCCTTGATGTTCTAGCACTTGTTTCTCAAAATAATCCATTTCAACTGCCAACAATCTTCTTTTCAGATCTGCATTAATTGTTCATAGTTCAGAGCCATAACAAAAAACTGATTCTACCATGGTTTACCCTATTCTTTGTTTTTGTTCCTTTTGGAAATGTTGCAATTATTGAGAAATTATAAAGTTCTGGAACAAAAATGGAGATTTGATGAACAAAATGAAACACGTGTTTACTCTATGACTGTAAATTTTGCTACTACACTAAAAAAGGAAAGTGACACATTATTCAACTAGTAAAGTAGCCAGTAGATGACACTGCTAGAAAATATTTAAATTTATTTATCTATATCCAACAGCGATCCCACCATAAGGAGTTTAGACATCCTACAATTTTACGTCACTCATTACTTCGGTGTTTAATTTTGGTTTCCCCCAAGCCGTTCTTAGCAACGAGTGCACCTAAATATTTAAATGTTTCCACTTGTTTGATTTCCATGTCCTCGTCTATCAACACTTCAAACCTTGCATCTGAATTGATAACTATAATATTATGTTTTCTTCATGCTGACTTGTAACCCCCATTTTACATATTCTGTATAGACGTTTTATCATAAATTCTATTTCATAAGAATCTTGAGTTACGACGACTTGGTGATCTGCAAAGTTCAGGGAGAACAGTACGTCATTTCTCATGGGGATTCCCATTCCTGGGGTAATAACAGTAAGAGTGACATATTGCATCCTTGTTTTAGTCCTTTAGTTACTTTTATTGGCTCTGATAATCTATTTCCGATTTTTAGGTAAGTAGTGTTATTTCTGTCATCATCATCCAGCCTCAAGAGTCCACTGCTGAACATAGGCCTCTTCTCATGTTCCAACCCCGTCTATCTTGCGCCGCTCTTATCCAGTTTTTATTGAGTCTTCTTAAATCGTCAGTCCATCTTGTAGGTGGTCGACCAAAGGCTTCTCTTGTTTTCCCTTGGCCTCCATTCCAATAACCTCTTTGTCCATCGCTCATCTGTCATTCTGGCTATGTGTCCTGCCCATCTCCATTTTAGTCTGGCTATCTTCTCGATGATGTCAGTCACTCCGGTTCTTCGCCTGATGTCTTCGTTTGTTATTCTGTCTCGAAGAGTTATTCCTAACATGGACCGCTCCATTCTTCTCTGCGTGACTCTCAGTTTGGTAGCTGCTGCTTTTGTTAAGGTAAGTGTTTCTGCTCCGTACGTCAAGACTGGGAGGACGCACTGATCAAATACCTTTCTCTTTAGGCATGTGGGCAGCTCACTTTTAAAAGTTTCTCTCAGTTTCCAAATGCTGCCCACCCAAGGCCGATTATTCTCTTCAGTTCATGAGTCTGGTTATCTCTGCCAATCATAATTTCATGTCCCAGGTATTTATATCTATCTACGAGTTCTATTTCTTTCCCACCAATACTGATGTTCTGGTTGGGCACCAAATTGGTCATGATTTTAGTTTTCGAGATATTTATATTTAAACCTACATTTTCTGTAGCCACAACGAGTTCCTGTACCATCTCTCTTGCCATATCTAGATCTTCAGCTATTATAAGTATATCATCGGCGAAACGTAAGTTGTTTAGATATTCTCCATCTATTTTTATTCCCTTTGTCATTCAATCCAAATTCAAAGCATGTTCTAGCACCGTATTAAAAAGTTTAGGTGACATTGGGTCTCCTTGTCTAACCCCCCGTTCTATTTTTATGCGATTACTGTTAGTATGTAATTTGACAGTGGTTGTTGCCTGCAGGTATATTTTTGTATAATAATTTAGTAAATCTATAATCTAGCCTGCATTCTTTAAGCGCCTGTAATATTTTGCTTAGCTCAACTGTGTCAAAGGCTTTGTGAAAATCGATAAATAAAAAAACTAGAGGTTTATTGTATTCCACTGCTTTCTCTATTAGGGTTTTTATACTTTGTAGACGGTCATTTGTTCCGTAACTTTTTCGGAATCCTGCCTGTTCCCTTGGTTGATAGGTCTTTAATTTTCTTTCCATTCTCTTAACTAGTATTCGCGTAAACAACTTATATATATGGCTGAGGAGGCTAATCGGTCTGTAATTCTCTAAATTTGCTTTGTCTCCGGCTTTGTGTAATAGAATCATAGTAGCGTTGTTCCAGTCTGTTGGAATATTGGCGCTGTGAAGGCAGATATTGAAAAGTTGTTTAATTTTTTCAAGTAATACATGTATTATGTTATTCCTGTATACTTCTGTGATTATTCCTAAAAGGTATGGATTAATGTCGAGTTGTTATAAAGTTTGCCACAATGAAGTCTTGAAACTGTATCATACGCGTTTTCTAGTCGATGAAGACCAGATGTACTTAGGTACCAACCGCTAATTCTTTTTTCTATTAATTGTTGGAGTATAAACAAGTTAGCAGTGCAAGAACAAAGATTCAAACGTCAATTAACTTATTTTTACCTTCAATTGCGGCTGATTCCCATTAAATAGTAATTAGATCTTATCTCTATCGTTGGCTCGGTTGGTGTTTCTCTTCTTCTTCTTTATTTTAATGACTGCTCGGATGTAACTGTGAACACTATTCCATCCCTCCGTACTTCCTGTCATCTTCACGATCACAGAGTTCTCAGATCTCTCTTACTATCACAGAGTTCATACCTATTTCTTTATATATTCTGTTTCTCTGTACATCTATTTCACTCTAGCATTGTGTGAATAACAATATCGGAATATTCGCAATATAGACATTTATCTGTATCTGTCTTTCTGTACCTATGAAGATACGCCCTAAAACAGACAATCTACTCAGTCCCCTGAGACTCGGGATCAGCATCTTGGTCCACTGGGCAACAACTTCCTTGTTGTT